TATCTCTTCATAAAAAAGGCTGGATGAATGACTGAAGCATATTTGACTCATTTTTTTACTATTTGCAGGCGTGCGAGAGATCGAGTTTAAGTGCCGAGCTCTTGTCTTCTGGAATCTGGGATCTGCTCATTCAGGTTGAGCTCTTTTTTCTCGGGCCTACTCATCTAGCCGAGAATCATGTCTTCTGGAATCTTGGATCTGCTCATTTCAGGTTGAGCTCTTTTTTCTCGGGCCTACTCATCTAGGCCGAGATCATGTCTTTTGCGAATCTTGGATCTGCTATTCAGGTTGAGCTCTTTTAATGTTATTTTCTTGGGAGCGCTCATGCCCCCTGTCTTTTGTAATCCCTTCTGGAAGGGTCTCATTCCGATTATGTCGACTATTCTACATCCTTTGCTAAACTAGGTGTTTCTGGCACGTTGATCTTGTACGTGATGGATCTGTGACTATCTATCTCCTTCGTGTCCCCCACGACGGCGCCAAATTTGGTGGGTGACTTCTCTGACCCAGCATGCTATTTGCTTAGTAATCAGAGCACTCATGATGAGAAGCACTGCAGGAATAGATGGAACCTGACTTGACCTGCACAACAATATAACACGGTATGGTGAGATTCTGCTGTTCACCGCTTCCACTCCGATGTGCTACGTTTCGAGATAAGTCCTGTACAGTTAGTATCTCTCAAAGATAAATGACAAATACGAAAACTCACAAGCTTGAGAGTATCAAAAGCATACCCTTAGACCCTCATGGGGGTGCCTCTCTTTATAGCCAACACAATCTACTCGCAAAAAGGAGCCTTGGCCCTAAATTGACTAGGATTGCTGCTAATCTGGACTCTCAGTGGATTAGGATAAACTCTCTAAGAGTCTTATCTGTTACCCAAACTGAAAGTCTTCTCCCAATCTTAGATCTTTGTCCATATCTAGGTTGTAGTTCCCTTTTATTCTTAGGACTCTTGTCCCTTGATCCGACTATCTCGGATTCCGATATCTTGGAGCAACCTCGGCATAAGCCGAGATTGACCCGGCACACACTAAGACACGTGGCACCTCGGCTTGACTACGTCGGCCGTCACCTTGCCACGTGTTGGTACTCAGAAAATATATCCTCCACACCCACAATCCATTGTCACCACCAAAACCATCACTTCCATTGCCAAATGACTCCTCCAATAATGTTTCGAGGCCCTCTTCTAACCACATTTTGCTGAACCAACAGTCACCTAGTGCGTTAATCTTTAGGAGCATATGGTGACTGCTAAAAAACCACCTCGCCATCTGACAATTTACTAAAGGCTCTGTTTGGAAAATAGATTTTTTTTTAATATTTTTTTTCTTTTTTAATTAAAAATGTGAATATAAAAGAAATTATATATTTAAGTTTCGTTTTGGCAAACCAAATTTTAATTAAAAAAAGTGTTAAAAAGTTACTAAATTAGTCAAAAAGCTAACAATTCATACTAAAAAGTCAAAGATTCTCTTTTCTCTCTACTTTTTGCATATTTTTCGTAAAAAAAACTAAAAGTCATCCCAAACATACTAGTTTTTTTAACTATATTTTAGCCAAATAATCAAAAAGTTACTAAATTAGGCATGTTCCCAAATGAGGCCTTAGAATGACTTTTTAACTTTTTATGAAAAACTGTGCAAAAAGTAAAGAGAGAAAAATGGAGTCTTTTGACTTTTTGTATAAGTTGTGACTTTTTAATTTTTTAGTAACTTTTTGACTTTTTTAGCTAAAATGGACAGTTGGCCAAACGAGCCAAAACATATTTTGCCTATTTTAATAATTAAAAAAAAAGAAGAGAAAAAGTGTTTTTTAAATTAAGGTGTGAGTCAGCGGATATATACCGATCCGCCAAAAGCCGACCGAAACCGATCCGACCGCCGCATTTTGGACGTTAAAATGCGTTGATGACGAGTCAGGACGGTTGCGGATTTGATTTCTCCAATCCGCCAATTTTTGAGGACGGATGGCGGATTTGAGATTTCTTCCGCCAAACCGAACTGCCAAACCGCGAGCACTCATAGTAATTTATAAGAGTTTGTGTTTTTAATTTGTTTAAATATATATGTTTGGTGTTTCAATTGAAAAAAATTTAAATATTTCTGTTGAATTTTTTTTCAATGAAGATATTTTTTTTGAATTGAAAAAAATAAACATATTATTTATCTATATTTTTTGATTTTTAAATCTAATTCTAAAAATAATAAATAGAAAATATGATATATGCTGGTTGGTTTTTGTTTTCAAAAACATATATAGATGTAACAATACAGAGACATATAATCTCTACTACTGCTCTGTTTATGGTTTTGGTGGTTTGAATTGTTTTTATATTTTAAGAACCATAGATTGTAATACTTTATGTGGATGAATCATACTGTGATTGTAACATGTGGATGAGGCATGCAGTGATTGTGATATTCTAAAGTTTTAAACTTTCTTTCTTTAGATGAGGCATGATTGTAATACTTTTTTAAGTCATTGACTGTAATACTTTTTTTTTTTTTTTTTGTTTAGAAAGTGCACAAGTTGAATTATGTTGAAAATTTATAAAATTTTAAACCCCAAACCGATTCGCATCCATCCTCCAAACCGCCAATTCGCTCAATCCACATCTGTCGGATTGGCGGACGGATGCTGATTGATTTTATCCAATCCGCCAATCTGGCGGACGGATGGCAGATTGGAGGTTCCGTGGCCGCAATCGACCCGCGCCCACCCCTAATTTAAATCATATTAGTTCTCTATTTTTTTTATATATTATAAAAACAAAAAATCAAAAAATTAATTTGTTCCCTTCTTTCCAAAATAGGCCTTATTCATTTTGATTTTCATTTATTTTCAAACCAACAAATAACTACAAAAAAATAAATAAAAGCAAAAACTTGTTCACTGAAAAAGTGAGAGTCAAAAAGAGGTAAAGGGGCAAAATGGTAAAAGAAAAGGCGCATTCGCGTAGATGACGCGTTTTGGATGAGAGAGGAGAGAGAATATGAGATGCCCATTGGATTGGAATGGACCAGCTCCCCCATTTTATGCTTCACCTTTCCCTCTCGTCTCTCTCTCTATATATATCTCTATACCTATCGCTTTGACAATATTAGCCACGCGTTATCTCTCACTTCCTTTCTTTTTTTCTCTTCAATTTTCTCTCTCACTTTCTCGGAAAACAAACACAATGGCCGATCAGCTCACCGATGATCAGATCTCCGAGTTCAAGGAGGCCTTCAGCCTCTTCGACAAGGACGGAGATGGTAATATTTCAATTTCTCTCCCGATCTAAATCCTATATATGAATGATATCTTTTCTTCAGATCTCTCTGTTGATTGTTGTTCTTGTTGCGATTTCTGACACTGTTTGGTTAGTTTTAGGTTTTTTTTTTTGAGGTAATCGTGAAATTCGATTATATTTGATTGGATGTTATTGTTGTTGTTTATATTCATGTTCTAGGTTTTGTATGCCCTTGGATCGTTTCGATAGTTTCACTCTGGAATTTTGTGCTTTGTTATTGGTGTTGCCATGTTGTTGTGTATGATCTTTATCAATCCGGCTAGCCCGCTTGGATTGAGTGATTTGATGAGAAATCGTAAGAAACGATGAGATTCTCATGTTTGGTTTACAAATCGAGTAAGAAATGGAGTGAGAGAATTCAATATGCCACTTTTATTTCTCACCAAAAATGGTGAGAAACTATACTGATTGGCCGTATATTTTTATACTACTAAGGTTACAGAAGAAAAATAAATCTCACCCACATCACACAATCATTTCATTTCACAATCGTTTTTTATGTCGGTTTGATGCACATGCCACGCTGAGGATGGGATGTAGGTGTTTGGGCCTAATTGTTTGCTGATCATTATCGTATCTGTGCTAGCCTCCTCTCCTTTTTCTCCATCTGGAATATTGTTTTTCAGATGATGCTATTTATGTTTCCTGAGGTTGATATGTTATAGTGTCTACAAATTTTTTTTAATACAATAAATGCTATGTACCCTGAAAAAGTACCTATAAAGTGCCTTCAATTTATAAATGTGTGGTGTAGATTTAAATTGTCACACAATCACAGCACCTTTGATCATCCTCACTAGCCCGAGACTTGGTTTGGAGAATGAGATTCAATTATTATGATGTTGACATTTTCCCTCCAAATTTTTGGTAAATAGACAGCATTCGATGCTTCTTTACTTTCAAGAAATATTATTAATATCATATAATGCTAGTGCTTACTGATTAATGCAGGAGTCTAAATTTTTTTCAAATTCACTGAATTTTTAAATTTTTTTGCATGCATTAGGCTCGGTTGCATTGGCCCTTTCATATGATGGATGGAAACGCATTAGAGCATCTCTAATCCTTGCTCTCTCTTTTTTCATCAAATTTGATTGAAAATTTGGTTTATTTATGTTTCCTGAGGTTGATATGTTATAGTGTCTACGAATTTTTTTTTACCCTGAAAAAGTACCTATAAAGTGCCTTCAATTTATAAATGTGTGGTGTAGATTTAAATTGTCACACAATCACAGCACCTTTGATCATCCTCACTAGCCCCAGACTTGGTTTGGAGAATGAGATTCAATTATTATGATGTTGACATTTTCCCTCCAAATTTTTGGTAAATAGACAGCATTCGATGCTTCTTTACTTTCAAGAAATATTATTAATATCATATAATGCTAGTGCTTACTGATTAATGCAGGAGTCTAAAATTTTTTCAAATTCACTGAATTTTTAAAATTTTTTGCATGTATTAGGCTCGGTTGCATTGGCCCTTTCATATGATGGATGGAAACGCATTAGAGCATCTCTAATCCTTGCTCTCTCTTTTTTCATCAAATTTGATTGAAAATTTGGTTAAAAGCTCGATTTTCTCTCTATCTCTTTGTATGTAATTGATTGATTGATTGGTTCGTTTATATTCACGTGATACCCCTAGATCGTTTTGAAATTTTCCGTCTCGAATATCATTTTTTGAGATTGATGTTGGTTGTAGGGTTGTTGTTAGGTTTGATGCGTATCAAACGCACTGCACATGATGTTGATATTTGGATTCGAGGCTATTATTTGCTGATCGTTATCATCTATTTTTCTGAGCCCCAAATCCTTCTTGTGTTTTTTTTTTTTGTTTCTGTGATGATGCTTTATTTATGTGTTCTGATGATGCTATTTATGTATCTGATCCATGCTTTATAAGTTCTCTCTGGGTCCTTTTTCTTGATTGATTGTTGTTATTTTATTTTATTTTATTTTTTTTTGAGAACTGTCTAATTTTTGCATGCATTAGGCTCGGTTGCATTGGCCCTTTCATATGATGGATGGAAACACATTAGAGCATCTCTAATCCTTGCTCTCTCTTTTTTCATCAAATTTGTTTGAAAATTTGGTTAAAAGCTCGATCTAGTATTGGAACGCTCCAATCCTTTGTTTTTTGTTTTTATCAAATCTTTTTGAAAAATCCCAAACTTATCCTAAAATATTGTTTTAACCATTTCTGATGAAATAAAATAACTCCTTATTCTTACTCTTTTTAAATTCTCGTCAATTGTGTGTAAAATATGACTGTTGGAAATTTGGTGAAGGATTTTGGTTCATCTTTGGTGAAAATTTTGCCTCCTCCTTGATTTGATAGATGTTTGATAAAATGATTGGAGCTCAATTTTAGCTCTTTACTCATCAAATATGAATTTGATGAAAGAATTGGTGAAGGATTGGAGATCTCTTAGGAGCTGTAGTTTCATTCCCTTCTTGTGGCTCTTTTTAGTAGGGAATTAAAAATGATTGTTATGGTACTATTTTTTTTATACAAAAAACATTAGCAGATTTATGTTTGGGACAAAAATACCTTAACAATCATTTTTAATTCCCTACTAAAAAGAGCCACAAGAAGGGAATGAAACTACAGCTCCTAAGAGATCTCCAATCCTTCACCAATTCTTTAAAAAAAAAAAAAAAAACACAAGAAGGATTTGGGGCTCAGAAAAATAGATGGTAACGATCAGCAAATAATAGCCTCGAATCCAAATATCAACATCATGTGCAGTGTGTTTGATACGCATCAAACCTAACAACAACCCTACAACCAACATCAATCTCAAAAAATGATATTCGAGAAGGAAAATTTCGAAACGATCTAGGGGTATCACGTGAATATAAACGAACCAACTAAATTTTCAATCAAATTTGATGAAAAAAGAGAGAGCAAGGATTAGAGATGCTCTAATGCATTTCCATCCATCATATGAAAGGGCCAATGCAACCGAGCCTAATGCATGCAAAAATTAGACAGTTCTCAAAAAAAAAAATAAATAAATAAAATAACAACAATCAATCAAGAAAAAGGACCCAGAGAGAACTTATAAAGCATGGATCAGATACATAAATAGCATCATCAGAACACATAAATAAAGCATCATCACAGAAAAAAAAAACAAAAGAAGGATTTGGGGCTCCGAAAAATAGATGATAACGATCAGCAAATAATAGCTTCGAATCCAAATATCAACATCATGTGCAGTGCGTTTGATACACATCAAACCTAACAACAACCCTACAACCAACATCAAAGGAAGCGAAATAACAACGATCAACCCATAGATCTGAACAAAACATATCAAACCAAGAACCATATTCATATATATGTATAAATATAGATATAGATATAGATATAGAGAGAGAGGGGGGGCGGATTGGGAAAGGGAAAGCTGACCGTCTCCGTCCTTGTCGAAGAGGCTGAAAGCCTCCTTGAATTCGGAGATCTGATCGTCAGTGAGTTGATCGGCCATTCTGGTGAGTTTTCCGAGAAAGTGAGAGAAAATCGAAGGAAAATAAGCGAAGATAAATGAAAAAGATGGGAGGATCTGCGTTAACGGGTATTTGTTATGGCAATGACAGACGAGTATGCTTAATATATAGAGAGAGAGAGAGTAGAGACAGCGAGGGAGGGAATGGTCAAAGGGCTATTGATGGATTGGAAAATTCTAAGGCAAATTACAAACACCCCATCGAGGTTTGGTGAAAATACAGATTTTCTCTGAAGTCTGAGAACGCATCAAACCTAACAACAACCCTACAACCAACATCAATCTCAAAAAATGATATTCGAGACGGAAAATTTCAAAACGATCTAGGGGTATCACTCCTTGAATTCGGAGATCTGATCGTCAGTGAGCTGATCGGCCATTCTGGTGAGTTTTCCGAGAAAGTGAGAGAAAATCGAAGGAAAATAAGCGAAGATAAATGAAAAAGAGAGGAGGATCTGCGTTAACGGGTATTTGTTATGGCAATGACAGACGAATATGCTTAATATATAGAGAGAGAGAGAGAGTAGAGACAACGAGGGAGGGAATGGTCAAAGGGCTATTGATGGATTGGAAAATTCTAGGGCAAATTACAAACACCCCATCGAGGTTTGGTGAAAATACAGATTTTCTCTAAAGTCTGAGAACACATCAAACCTAACAACAACCTTACAACCAACATCAATCTCAAAAAATGATATTCACGTGATACCCCTAGATCGTTTCGAAATTTTCTGATCCATGCTTTATAAGTTCTCTCTGGGTCCTTTTTCTTGATTGATTGTTGTTATTTTATTTTATTTTTTTATTTTTTGAGAACTGTCTAATTTTTGCATGCATTAGGCTCGGTTGCATTGGCCCTTTCATATGATGGATGGAAACACATTAGAGCATCTCTAATCCTTGCTCTCTCTTTTTTCGTCAAATTTGATTGAAAATTTGGTTGGTTCGTTTATATTCACGTGATACCCCTAGATCGTTTCGAAATTTTCCGTCTCGAATATCATTTTTTGAGATTGATGTTGGTTGTAGGGCTGTTGTTAGGTTTGATGCGTATCAAACGCACTGCTGATCGTTATCATCTATTTTTCTGAGCCCCAAATCCTTCTTGTGTTTTTTTTTTTTTGTTTCTGTGATGATGCTTTATTTATGTGTTCTGATGATGCTATTTATATATCTGATCCATGCTTTATAAGTTCTCTCTGGGTCCTTTTTCTTGATTGATTGTTGTTATTTTATTATTATATTTTTTTTTTGAGAACTGTCTAATTTTTGCATGCATTAGGCTCGGTTGCATTGGCCCTTTCATATGATGGATGGAAACGCATTAGAGCATCTCTAATCCTTGCTCTCTCTTTTTTCATCAAATTTGATTGAAAATTAGGTTGGTTCGTTTATATTCACGTGATACCCCTAGATCGTTTCGAAATTTTCCGTCTCGAATATCATTTTTTGAGATTGATGTTGGTTGTAGGGTTGTTGTTAGGTTTGATGTGTTCTCAGACTTCAGAGAAAATCTGTATTTTCACCAAACCTCGATGGGTTGTTTGTAATTTGCCCTAGAATTTTCCAATCCATCAATAGCCCTTTGACCATTCCCTCCCTCGCTGTCTCTACTCTCTCTCTCTATATATTAAGCATATTCGTCTGTCATTGCCATAACAAATACCTGTTAACGCAGATCCTCTCCTCTTTTTCATCTATCTTCGCTTATTTTCCTTCGATTTTCTCTCACTTTCTCGGAAAACTCACCAGAATGGCCGATCAGCTCACTGACGATCAGATCTCCGAATTCAAGGAGGCTTTCAGCCTCTTCGACAAGGACGGAGACGGTCAGCTTTCCCTTTCCCAATCCGCCCCCCCCTCTTTCTCTATATCTATATCTATATCTATATTTATACATATATATGAATCTGGTTCTTGGTTTGATATGTTTTGTTCAGATCTATGGGTTGATCGTTGTTATTTCGCTTCCTTCGACACTATTTGGTTAATTTTAGGTCTTTTTGTCCATCATAGAATCTCTTCAGATTTGAAGGTTTTTCTCACTATCTCTTTGTATGTAATTGATTGATTGATTGGTTCGTTTATATTCACGTGATACCCCTAGATCGTTTCGAAATTTTCCGTCTCGAATATCATTTTTTGAGATTGATGTTGGTTGTAGGGTTGTTGTTAGGTTTGATGCGTATCAAACGCACTGCACATGATGTTGATATTTGGATTCGAGGCTATTATTTGCTGATCGTTATCATCTATTTTTCTGAGCCCCAAATCCTTCTTGTGTTTTTTTTTTTGTTTCTGTGATGATGCTTTATTTATGTGTTCTGATGATGCTATTTATGTATCTGATCCATGCTTTATAAGTTCTCTCTAGGTCCTTTTTCTCGATTGATTGTTGTTATTTTATTTATTATTATTTTTTTTTGAGAACTGTCTAATTTTTGCATGCATTAGGCTCGGTTGCATTGGCCCTTTCATATGATGGATGGAAACGCATTAGAGCATCTCTAATCCTTGCTCTCTCTTTTTTCATCAAATTTGATTGAAAATTTGGTTAAAAGTTCGATCTAGTATTGGAACGCTCCAATCCTTTGTTTTTTGTTTTTATCAAATCTTTTTGAAAAATCCCAAACTTATCCTAAAATCTTGTTTTAACCATTTCTGATGAAATAAAATAACTCCCTATTCTTACACTTTTTAAATTCTCGTCAATTGTGTGTAAAATATGACTGTTGGAAATTTGGTGAAGGATTTTGGTTCATCTTTGGTGAAAATTTTGCCTCCCCCTTGATTTGATAGATGTTTGATAAAATGATTGGAGCTCAATTTTAGCTCTTTACTCATCAAATATAAATTTGATGAAAGAATTGGTGAAGGATTGGAGATCTCTTAGGAGCTGTAGTTTCATTCCCTTCTTGTGGCTCTTTTTAGTAGGGAATTAAAAATTATTGTTATGGTACTATTTTTTTTATACAAAAAACATTAGCAGATTTATGTTTGGGACAAAAATACCTTAAATATTTGTTGGACTAGAGTGATTGTAATCAAATTTTGTGGTAAAAAATATCTTTATGTTTCTACAAATCACAAAATTGCCTTCTTCCTCCTCTGTTTACTATTTCTCTCCCCTCATATATGTGGTATGTATTTCTTGTCTATAATCAGCAACCATGCACTTATCTCCCCACCAGAGCACAACCGGTAGTCAAGCATCCATTGGTCTCCCCCTCACTCCATCCATCATATGAAAGGGCCAATGCAACCGAGCCTAATGCATGCAAAAATTAGACAGTTCTAAAAAAAAAAATAAATAAATAAAATAACAACAATCAATCAAGAAAAAGGACCCAGAGAGAACTTATAAAGCATGGATCAGATACATAAATAGCATCATCAGAACACATAAATAAAGCATCATCACAGAAACAAAAAAAAAAACCCTCTGTCTCTGATTTTTTGGTTATCTTAAATCTTTTTGTTTGGAGCTAATTCTGCGTCATTTGGCTCTCTCTTTCTCTCTCTCTCACTTTTTTTCCATTTCGCTTAGCCTGGGGAATTGAGATTCAATTTTTATGGTGTTAGCAATAGACTGCATCTGGTACTTGCAGCTTTTGGATAAGGCTAGTCTTTACTGATTAATGCATATTTTGAGTCTTGCATATATTAAATTTCGCTGAATCTTATAACTGAATTTACTCAAACAGAGCACGTATACTCCAGATTTGAGTTTAAGCTGTGCTATATCATTTTTGTACTGCCAGATCATTTTATTAGTCAATAGTTAGGGTGGATGTCTAGTAATTGGTTTATATATGTAATATATGTGTGGGTGTGCACTGGTTTAGTTCAGATCTCAGAAAAAAAGATGAGGTTATCAAGGTCAATTATCAAGTGTTGTTAATGGAATTTGGTGAAGCACAATGACTTGAGTGCTTATTTCTTAATGTCAAGGGGTTTGCACAGGGCCCCCTGTTACATGGTGTAAATGAAATTCGCCCTAAAATTGTGTGAATTATATCTTCTCCGTCATAACCAATGTGGCAATTTTGTTTGGTACTTGAGACCTTGGACCTAAATTCGTTGTCTTTCCTGTGTTGCCTTTTGCACCACTTGCATGTTTTGTATTTTTCTTACATGATAATGCTAAACTATTGTTTTGTGTTCATCTCCTAACCCTCTGTCTCTCTCAATTTTTTTTGCTTACGTCAGTTCTTTTGGCATGGCCTTGACGTTTTGACATTTTGCTGTAATGTTGTTTTCAAATATTGCTTCAGGTTGCATCACTACCAAGGAGCTTGGAACGGTGATGCGGTCGTTGGGGCAGAACCCGACAGAAGCTGAGCTCCAGGACATGATAAATGAGGTTGATGCTGATGGAAATGGGACAATTGATTTCCCAGAGTTCCTCAACCTGATGGCCAGGAAGATGAAAGATACTGACTCTGAGGAGGAGCTCAAGGAAGCTTTCCGGGTTTTCGACAAGGACCAGAACGGCTTCATTTCTGCGGCTGAGCTCCGCCATGTCATGACAAATCTGGGTGAAAAGCTCACTGATGAGGAAGTCGATGAGATGATTCGTGAGGCTGATGTGGATGGTGACGGTCAGATCAACTACGATGAGTTCGTCAAGGTCATGATGGCCAAGTGAGGACCAATCAACCCAAAACCAGAAAAAGAGGAAGAAAAAAAATTAACAAAACCAAAAAAAAAAAAAAAAAAAGGGCAGAGAAATTTAGGAAGTTTAGGGAAGTCCAGAGAAATTTTTAAAATTTCTTTGGACTAATTTTCTCTGACTTGAATTTTCTCTGGACCAATTTTCTCTGAATTGATGTTGAGGGACCTTAGATATCATCAAAATATTTGACGTCCTTTATAATATAAAATTATAATATCAGGGACCTTAAAAAAAATACCCCCTCATTATTTTATTATTTTTATAGTCTTGTTAATGACAACTTAATGGCTTTGTTTTTTCATATATGAATATGGTATTGTTTGATTCGTCATCCATAGGGGTGGCAAAGTCAACCCAAGATCATGAGCTAGTACAATACACTCGTTTAAATTGTCTAAATCAGTTCAAAGTAAATGGATTATGTGGGTGTTTGGTGCAATTTAAAAACTACTTATTTCAATTTTTAGTTTAATTTAAGCTAAAACATTGTGTTTGATGCAGCTTAACTCATTAGATTATAACTTAAATTAAGTGGAAAAATAGCTTTTTCTTGAAGTGGTTAGGGGGGTGCTTTGGAGATTGTAGATTAAGCGGGAAGTTGGTTTGGAGGGGCAAAAATACTTAAATGCCCCTCATTAAATTTCGGAATACCCAAATACTTCGTATATAAATTGTCTAAATCAGTTCAAAGTAAATGGATTATGTGGGTGTTTGGCACAATTTAAAAACTACTTATTTCAATTTTTAATTTAATTTAAGCTAAAACATTGTGTTTGATGCAGCTTAATTCATTAGATTATAACTTAAATTAAGTGGAAAAATAGTTTTTTCTTGAAGTGGTTAGGGGGGTGCTTTGGAGATTGTAGATTAAGCGGGAAGTTGGTTTGGAGGGGCAAAAATACTTAAATGCCCCTCATTAAATTTCGGAATACCCAAATACTTCGTATATAAATCACACTTGCATTGTTCACTCAGAGAGAGAGAGAGAGAGTGGCGAATTCGGGTTGCGATTTCTGGCAATGTTTCTCTCTTTCTCTTTTGATCGACCTTTTACTATCGCGATCACAATTGAGGGGCAAAAACCTTGACCGTAGCGATCGATCTAAAACCCTAGTGCCGCCAGTGACAATTTGAAACCCTAACGCGATCAATCTTAAACTCTAGAGCCGCCGATGACAATTTGAAACCCTAGCGCCACTAGTGATGATATCAAACCCTGGCGCGATTGATCTCTTTTCTCTCTTCTACGATTGCTTTCTTCGCTATCTCTTTGCCGGTGGAGAAGAAAGAGGCAGCCTCCGGTGATGATCTGGCGTTGCTCTCTCAACGACTCTCTCTCTGTCCTCTCCATTTAATTATTTTTTTAATTAAATTTTTTTTATTAATTTAGTACTAATGAAAATAAATTTGTAACAATTTTTAATAAATTAAAACAATATCAATTAATATTCATATATTTATAAACTAAAATGAATATAAAAAAATAATATGTAATGAAATCAGAATATTAATATAAATATATGAATATAATTAATATGTAAGGAGAGAAGAACAAAAAAGAAAATAAAATAATATGACAAGAAGGACATTACATAGTAAAAAGATAATTTACAACTTATTCAACTAAATATTACTGTGCTGATTAAATCTATAATCTCACAGCTACACAAAATAGGTTAATAGCTTATATTTAAAATTATAATTTATAATATATTAACTTATAATCTATAATTACTTTCTTACAGTATTATCAAACGGGCCTATACCTTGTAAGCTTTATTAAAATTTTACGCATGAATATTCACGGGTCTTTTGGCAACAAACTAAAAAAGTCAATTTTTTGACTTTTTAATTTTTTTACACAAAAAAAATCACCAAAAAAATCAAAAATCAACTTTTTATCAACTTCCCAAACACTCCTCAGTTAGACCCATTTAAATGAGCAGCACCCAAAGCTGCCACTCAACTATCTCCACTACCAACACTCCACACCACCACCACTCAGCCTGTTTTGAAAATATAGTTAAAAATTATTTTTTTAACATTTTTGATTCTTTTTTTTTAAAATAAATTAAAAATTAAAAAGTGACTTTTAATCCATTCTCTACAATAGGCCTCTATTACAGCTGCTGTCACACCATTTATTGAGGGAAAAATAATAATAAAATAAATGGGTTGATCAGTGGAGTGGGAGAGATCATGCTTGAACCATTTTATCATGATAAGACTGATTAACGTATTATTCGACGTAAATTAAATAAGTATACTTATTTAAATAAATATATTTATTTAAATTATATCATTTTTGTATATGATTTTTAAAAAAAATTAAAAAATATATTTATTTAGATTGTCTAAAACAACCCTAAATAAAAATTTAAAAGTTAATTTTTAATCTATTTTGAGTTACATTATCTCTTACATAAAAATGTTAAAAAACTAACTTTTAATCATCATTCCAAAACATTTCACGGTAAAGTTGTAAATGAAATGAGTTGTCCCTCGTTTTCAAGCTCGAATAAATGAGGGTCATATATATTTCACATATTCTTATATATATTTTTATACAATTTTTAAACTTATACCAACATTAACTACCACCCATTAGATAGTAATTACCATTTATATAAATTAATAATGTTTCAAGTTGGAATTTTTGAGAGGTAAGAGAGTGAATAAAAAGATGAAAATGCAAATAAATAAAGGGGTACTTATATGTAGGTCATAATAAGTGAATTTATTGTCTAATAGGTTCTATGAAAAAAATTTGTCATAAAAAAATGTCACTAATTGTAAGTTTTAGTGACAATTAACAAAAATTATGACAAAAAGTCACTAATTGTCAATTTTTAGCAACGCATGTAAAAAATTGTTACAAAAAAATTATTTTTAGTGATAATTTTATCAAGACTTATTTTCAATAGGATTTGATAGGAATTAAGTATAACTATTAGGACTTATTGGTAGTTTAAGAAATAAAAGATATTAATCCTTCTTTAATAATATTTTGTTTTTATTTTTGCTTGTATACTATTTTTATATATTCAAAAAATAAAATTGATTGGGGTCTTTTGGGAAGCCAATAAAAAGTCAATTTTTAGTTTTTTACTCATTTTGATGTCACATCATCTCTCATATTTTTTATTCACAAAAAAAAAAGATAAATTAAAAAAAATTAAAAAAAATTAAATTTTTACCAATTTTTTGAAACACCACAAAATCTTTAAAAATTTTGAAAACAGAAAAAAAAAATTATTTTCAAAAGAAGTTTCCACTTTTTTTCTCAATCATTCCCACAATCCATTGTCACCACCAACCATCACTTTCCATTGCCAAATGACTCCTCAATAAGTTTCGAGCCTCTTCTAACACATTTTGCTAACCAAACAGTCACCTAGTGACGTTAATCTTTGAATTATGCTTGGGATCCCTTTTTGGGGTCACCCCCTCACCCCCCCTTGTCACGTGGCGGGTGGTGATTGGAGGAGCAGGAAAAAAAAGAAAAAAAAAGAAAGAAAAGGTAACCAATGAGAGAGAGAGGGGGTTAAGGGGTGGAGGAAAAAGGGGGGTAAATCATTGTTATTAATCTTTAGGGCATATGGTGACTGCTAAAAACCACCTCGCCATCTGACAATTTACTAAAGGCCTTCTTTGGAAATAGATTTTTTTTAATAATTTTTTTATCTTTTTAATTAAAATGTGATATAAAGGAAATTAGTATATATAAGTTTCGTTTGGCAACCGAATTTTTTAATTAAAAAGTTAAAAAGTTACTAAATTAGTCAAAAATCTAACAATTCATACTAAAAAGTCAAAGATTCTTTTTTCTCTCTACTTTTTGCATATCTTTTCGTAAAAAACTAAAAAGTCATCCCAAACATACTAGTTTTTTTTAACTCATATTTTAGCCAAATAATCAAAAAGTTACTAAATTAGCATGTTCCCAAATGAGGCCTTAGAATGACTTTTTAACTTTTTATGAAAAACTGTGCAAAAAGTAAAGAGAAAAATGGAGTCTTTGACTTTTTGGTATGAGTTGTTGACTTTTTAATTTTTTTAGTAACTTTTTGACTTTTTTAGCTAAAATGGACAGTTGCCAAACGAGGCCTAAACATATTTTGGCCTATTTTACTAATTTAAAAAAAGAAGAGAAAAAGTGTTATTTAAATTAAGGGTGAGCAACGGATATACCGATCCGCCAAAACCGACCGAACAGAACCGATCCGCCGCATTTTGGACGGATGCGTGATGACGAGCGGACGGTTGCAGATTGATTTTCTCCAATCCGCCAATTTGGCGGACGGATGGCGGATTTGAGATTTCTTTGGCCGCAACCGAACTGCCAAACCGCGAGCACCCCTAGTAATTTATAAGAGTTTGTGTTTTTAATTTGTTTAAATATTATGTTTGTGTTTTCAATTGAAAAAAAATTTAAATATTCTGTTGAAAAAAAGTTTTCAACTTGAATATATTTTTTTAATTGAAAAAATAAACATATTATTTATCTATATTTTTTGATTTTTAAATCTAATTCTAAAAATAATAAATAAAAAATATGATATATGCTAGTTGGTTTTTGTTTTCAAAAACATATATAGATGTAACAATACAGAGACATACAATTTCTACTACTGCTCTGTTCATGGTTTGTGTGGTTTGAATTGTTATTATATTTTAAGAACCATAGATTGTAATACTTTATGTGGATGAATCATACTGTGATTGTAACATGTGGATGAGGCATGCAGTGATTGTGATATTCTAAAGTTTTAAATTTTCTTTCTTTCGATGAGGCGTGATTGTAATACTTTTTTAAGTCATTGACTGTAATACTTTTTTTTTTTTGGTTTAGAAAGTGCACAAGTTGAATTATGTTGAAAATTTATAAAATTTTAAACCGCCAAACCGATTCGCATCCATCCGCCAAACCGCCAATCCGCTCAATCCACATCCGTCGGATTGGCGGACGGATGCTGATTGATTTTATCAAATCCGCCAATCTGGCGGACGGATGGCAAATTAGAGGTTCCGTGGCCGTAACCGACTCGCGCTCACTTCTAATTTAAATCATATTAGTTCTCTATTTTTTTTATATATTATAAAAACAAAAAATCAAAAAATTAATTTGTTCCCTTCTTTCCAAAATAGGCCTTATTCATTTTGATTTTCATTTATTTTCAAACCAACAAATAATTACAAAAAAATAAATAAAAGCAAAAACTTGTTCACTGAAAAAGTGAGAGTCAAAAAGAGGTAAAGGGGCAAAAAGGTAAAAGAAAGGGCGCATTCGCGTAGATGACGCGTTTTAGATGAGAGAGGAGAGAGAATATGAGATGCCCATTGGATTGGGATGGACCAGCTCCCCCATTTTATGCTTCACCTTTCCCTCTCGTCTCTCTCTCTATATATATCTCTATACCTATCGCTTTGACAATATTAGCCACGCGTTATCTCTCACTTCCTTTCATTTTCTCTTCCATTTTCTCTCTCACTTTCTCGGAAAACAAACACAATGGCCGATCAGCTCACCGATGATCAGATCTCCGAGTTCAAGGAGGCCTTCAGCCTCTTCGACAAGGACGGAGATGGTAATATTTCAATTTCTCTCCCGATCTAAATCCTATATATGAATGATATCTTTTTTTCAGATCTCTCTGTTGATTGTTGTTCTTGTTGCGATTTCTGACACTGTTTGGTTAGTTTTAGGTTTTTTTTTTTTGTTTTTGTTTTTGTGAGTTAATCGTGAAATTCGATTATATTTGATTGGATGTTATTGTTGTTGTTTATATTCATGTTCTAGGTTTTGTATGCCCTTAGATCGTTTCGATAGTTTCACTCTGGAATTTTGTGCTTTGTTATTGGTGTTGCCATGTTGTTGTGTATGATCTTTATCAATCCGGCTAGCCCGCTTGGATTGAGTGATTTGATGAGAAATCGTAAGAAACGATGAGATTCTCATGTTTGGTTTACAAATCGAGTAAGAAATGGAGTGAGAGAATTCAATATGCCACTTTTATTTCTCACCAAAAATGGTGAGAAACTATACTGATTGGCCGTATATTTTTATACTACTAAGGTTACAGAAGAAAAATAAATCTCACCCACATCACACAATCATTTCATTTCACAATCGTTTTTTATGTCGGTTTGATGCACATGCCACGCTGAGGATGGGATGTAGGTGTTTGGGCCTAATTGTTTGCTGATCATTATCGTATCCGTGCTAGCCTCCTCTCCTTTTTCTCCATCTGGAATATTGTTTTTCAGATGATGCTATTTATGTTTCCTGAGGTTGATATGTTATAGTGTCTACGAATTTTTTTTAATACAATAAATGCTATGTACCCTGAAAAAGTACCTATAAAGTGCCTTCAATTTATAAATGTGTGGTGTAGATTTAAATTGTCACACAATCACAGCACCTTTGATCATCCTCACTAGCCCCAGACTTGGCTTGGAGAATGAGATTCAATTATTATGGTGTTGACATTTTCCCTCCAAATTTTTGGTAAATAGACAGCATTCGATGCTTCTTTACTTTCAAGAAATATTATTAATATCATATAATGCTAGTGCTTACTGATTAATGCAGGAGTCTAAAATTTTTTCAAATTCACTGAATTTTGAAACTGATTTAACTCAAACGAAGCATATATACTACGGATATGTGTTTAAGATATGGGTACGTTTGTGTGAATTTGAATCTTCTCCAGCATAACCGATATGGCAGTTATTGTTTTTTTTTTTTCCTGTGTTAACAAGTACCAAATGCATGCTTTGTATTTTTCTTGTAGGATAGTATCATCTTTGTGTTGTTCTCTCTCCTGTCATCTCTTCTTGCTTTTTGGAATCCTGGATGCTATTATTACTACATGTTGTCATTGTTCTTTAATATAAACTTGTTGGCATGGCCATGATGTTTTGCTGTAATGTTCTTTTTAAATATCGCTACAGGTTGTATCACTACCAAGGAGCTTGGAACAGTGATGCGGTCGTTGGGACAGAACCCAACAGAAGCTGAGCTGCAGGACATGATCAATGAGGTTGATGCTGATGGAAATGGGACAATTGATTTCCCAGAGTTTCTCAACCTGATGGCCCGGAAGATGAAAGATACCGACTCCGAGGAGGAGCTCAAGGAAGCCTTCCGGGTTTTCGACAAGGACCAGAACGGCTTCATTTCTGCTGCTGAGCTCCGCCATGTAATGACAAATCTTGGTGAAAAGCTCACAGATGAGGAAGTTGATGAGATGATTCGTGAGGCCGATGTGGATGGCGACGGCCAGATCAACTATGAGGAGTTCGTCAAGGTCATGATGGCCAAGTGAGGACCAATCAACCCAAAAAACTAAATTTGGGAAGTAAAAAAGGGAAGGTCAAAATGAGAAAGGGTTAAAAAGGTGAAGCAGGGCAGATAAGTTTGGACGAGAATTCTATTTCTGGTTAGGACCTGTTGATTTGGTATTTTAGCCCTATTTTGGGTGTGTCTCCGTTTTTTCTGTTTGTATTTGTTTTTTTTTTTATAGTGCTGGTCTTTTGTGTTCTACTTGTTTGCTCTGCTTCTTGCTTTTGGTTTGGGTTGGGTTAGAATCTTCTCTTCTGACTATTGCTGGTATTTTCTTCTTACATATGATATTTTATGAACCAAGAACAATTTGGAGGAGTTCAATGTCTTTTTTGTTTGTTTGTTGCCAATTATGGGTGACTGATTTTGTTAATATTCAATAATTTTTAGTGTATATTTTCTTTATTGTCTGTCCTTGATACAACTGTTGTTTGTGTGAAGATCAGGAAACAAAGCTACTCATTGAATTGCCTCTCAATAGGCAAGAGTGGATGGGTGGCTCCTGCATGCTCCTCTTCTCCTCCATTTTGTATTTTTTTTATTTTTATAACATCTGATAGGAGGAAAGTTGGAGATTAGGCGTCAGGAAAGTCATACATCACATAACTGATAAAATTTGAATCTAGACACTCTGATTTGCTTGCTAGGTTTGGATTGTAAATATGGATGTTGCTTTGTTTGTGGTTTGGATCTAATCAGAGGTGGCAAACTCAACCTAAAATTAATAATTTCCTCAATTGAGCGGAGTCGGTTCAAATCATAAATGGATTTAAAGGGCTACATATATTGTAAATTCAATAAAAATTATTTTTAAATGTATTGCACATGCATATACTTATTAAACCATTTTAAATGGGTATATTCTACCACCATCACTGTTAGCATTGTCAAATTGCTACCATCACAATTGTCTCTATTCCATTTACACCACTGTTGCCATCAAAGCCACTTTACCATCAACCCATTGCCCCCACCACCACGTTTGCTCCACCACCACCCCCACCTAGCACGTACTGCCACAATCACCCTACCATTACTACCATCATTACTATTTATATAACTATTAGTGCATTAATTTTAAGGGATCAATCAAATATAAAAAAAAAAAAATCATTTTTGATGAAAATAAATTGTTAAAAAAAAATGATATAAAATACTTTTCATTGAGTAATGTTAGATATAAAAATATTCTATTGAACATAAGTGTCTAGTAACTATTCTCACTAATGTTAGAGATATAGAAATATTCTATTGAACATAAGTGTCTTGTAAAAAATTTTGTAAGATATTTTGGGGTCAACATTTTTGTTACTCCACAAAATGTGAGATCATAACACAATTTCTGAAACTAGCTTTCTATACAAATGAATATATAATAGATAGACAAGACTACGGGTTATTTTGAGAATTTAGTAAAAAGTTAACTTTTGATTTTTTATCAAGTTTTTTTAGTTTTTTTTAGAAGTGATTTGGGAAGTTGGTAAAAAATTGACTTTTTGCTTTTTAGTTTAATATTTATTTATGGTGTTAAATCAAATTAAAATGACCAAAATACCCTTATCCAACATAAGAGAGTTATTTTTTTATTTATTTTTCATAGGCCATAATTTGTAATTTTAGGACTGCGTTTTTTGCACTTGCTAAATGACTTTTCTTACGTTTTTAGCATCCACGTTTTTGAACATTTTATCAAAAAATATGACTTTTTACGGTGTTCCTAAAATGACACTACGTGTGTTACATTTTTCAAAGTATATATACATATTTATTTATTTATTTTTTTTATTATTATTTTTTTTTTTTGTAATTAGCCGCAGTAGACTGGATGCATGGAATGAATAAAAAAAAGTACACATTGGGAAGTGCCTAAAGAGGCTATTATAGTCTAAAAAATTTTTTTAGCTAAAAAGTCACTTTTGCAAGCTTTTTCAAAAAAAAAAAAAAAAAAAAAAACTGCACAGTAGGCAGTGTAGGCAGTGTAGGCACACCCTACACTGTCAGTTTTGTCACTTGTTCCATCAATGAACATTTTACGATTTTATCCCTTGATAGCAATTTAAAAAAATATTTTTTTAAGAACAAATTTGTCATTTTAATTTCAAACATCATTTCAACACATTTTTTAATACAATAATTCAAATAAAATCCATCTCATCTTTCCAAGGCCAAGTTTGGGAAGACAAGTACACTTTTTGACTTTTTATGAAATATGGATTGGATTTGGATTGGGTTTGAAGTGATGTGTTAGAGAGGTGATGTGACCTAAATAAGATGATGTGACTTAAATAAGATAGTGACTTTTTGACTTTTTAGATTTTTTAGAGAATACCAAACTTAACTTAAAATAACCTACTAAAATAACTAAAAAAATTAAATAACCTACTAAAATAGTCACTTCCCAAACGAGACCAATATTGATAAAAAGGTTAGAAATTTCTGACACGAAGCTATTCAAATCCCAAAAACAATAATTACTACCAAACAATGAAAGTTCGTTGTTGGCGTCCCCTCTAAGCTCACTTCTGGTAAAAAAACAATTCAATTAAATATATTGGGTATGTTTGGTTTGTGTTTGAGAGATGTGTTTTAGAGATAAAAAGTACGAAAACATGTTTGGTTTAGTTTTTTTTAAAAGATGTTTTGGAAAATTATTTTGAGATAGAGTTTTGGAAAAAGTGATTGATTTGATATGTGTGAGAGAGAGATTTGTTTGGAAAACTTGTTTGGTTTACAAGTTTTGAGAAATTTTTTTGAGAAAATTTGTTTGGTTTCATTATTTTTGAAAACTTATTTGTAGAGAAAATTTCCCAAAATTTTTTCAGAAAATCAAACCAAACGAGCCCATTATTTTGCAGCACATAGGCCACTTGTCATAAACAATAACGGTAGTGGTAAATCTATTAATTAATGTATTAATATTAATTATGATATTATTACTCTCTCCGTCTTAAAATAATGATTTTTTTTAAGGAATTTAACTTTTTTTAATAGTATAATTATTGCATTTAAAAAAAGTTAATTTTTTAAAATTATCCTTTTAATAGTACATTTTTTGGGAATATCAATACATAATTGTACTTTTTATATTGTTTATTAATTTAAAAGAAGGGTAAAATAGGAAATTTATATTATTTTTGTACTTGATTTTTGAAGAGGGACTAATATTTTGGGACAATGAAAAATGGAATAAGGGACTAATATTTTTCCAACCTTATTTCAATCAAACTTTGTCTTGGTAACTCCCTCTTCCATCTACTTCAACTCTGTTTGAATCATAAATTTGAATACGAAATTAAAAAAATAAAATAAAAATGTGAAGATGTATGTAAATATAAGTTTTTTCCCCCGTAAATTTCTAGGTAAATCCATATTCAAACACAACTTTAAATTTTAGTATTTTTCAAAACTTTTGGGTCATTTGTAGTTTGTTCCTATACAGCCTTGGTTTAATCACTAGCAATTTTTTTTTTTTTGAACCAAATCACTAATATTGATGTAACAAATTTTGTGTTAATATTTTAAAAACTCAATATGGCTATGTTTGAGATACTATTTTGGGTTAAAATAATTATATAGGACAAAATTGGATATTTTAGCTAAATAGGATAAAATGTCACATCCAATCTATAATCATTTTATTTTTTCTCTTGCAAAAATTAAAAAAGTTGAAAGGTTCATCCCAAACTAGACTTTTTAACCCTAGACTAAGGCCTAGTTTGGCATAACCTAAATAATACAAAAGGTTAAAAAGTCACTATCCTATTTAAGTCACATCATCTTATTTAAATCACATCACCTCTCTAACACATCACATCAAACCCAACCCAAACCCAACCCATATAAGCCAATAAGTCAAAAAGTGCACTTTTTTAGAATATCCCAAACCAACCCTAAATAAGTACACTTTTTGACTTTTTATGAAATATGGATTGGATTTGGGTTGGGTTTGAAGTGATGTGTTAAAGAGGTGATGTGACCTAAATAAGATGATGTGACTTAAATAAGATAGTGACTTTTTGACTTTTTAAATTTTTTAGAGAATGCCAAACTTAACCTAAAATAACCTACTAAAATAACTAAAAAACTAAATAACCTACTAAAATAGTAACTTCCCAAACGAGGCCAATATTGATAAAAAGGTTAGAAATTTCTGACACTTGGGAAGGCTATTCAAATCCCAAAAACAATAATTAGGCCTCGTTTGGAAAGATTAAATAAGTGCACTTTTTGACTTTTTATGAAATATGAGTTGAGTTTGAGTTGGGTTTGAAGTGATGTATTAAAGAAGTGATGTGACTTAAATAAGATGATGTGACTTAAATAGAATAGTGACTTTTTGACTTTTTATCTTTTTTTCAATCATGCCGAACTTGGCTTTCCTACCAAACAATGAAAGTTCGTTGTTGGCGTCCCCTCTAAGCTCAATTCTGGTAAAAAACAATTCAATTAAATATATTATTTTGCAGCACATAGGCCACTTGTCATAAACAATAACGGTAGTGGTAAATCTATTAATTAATGTATTAATATTAATTATGATATTAATACTCTCTCCGTCTCAAAATAATAATTTTTTTTAGGAAATTTAACTTTTTTTGGTAATATAATTATTGTATTTGAAAAAAGTTGATTTTCCAAAATTATCCTTTTGATAGTACATTTTTTGGGAATATCAATACATAATTGTACTTTTTATGTTGTTTATTAATTTAAAAGAAGAGTAAAATAGGAAATTTATATTATTTTTGTACTTGATTTTTGAAGAGGGACTAATATTTTGGGACAATGAAAAATGGAATAAGGGACTAATATTTTGAGACGGAGGGAGTATTAATTTTATTTATTATACAAATTATAAATATTAATTTTTTTTTTAAATTATGTCATATTATCAATTGGTACATTAGTTAATACAGTAATTGATATATATAGTATTATGCAAACAATAATGTAATTACTGGTTTGGTGTTATATAATACGGTGGTACTATATATATCAATTAATATACATATTAGTGTATTAACTAGTATTATGTAATTATTACTGACCCTACCTATTATATAAATCACAAATACCCAAAATCTCTAAAAGTATGTAACATCATCTATTAATATATTAGTTAGTATATTAATTGATACATATAATATTATTCTATACCATAATTTTTTTCACAAAGTACAAGAAATTTATAATAGATGTAAAAAGGCCATTTGTATGCGTTTAAATCGTTTCTGTTCAATTTTAAAGATTGAAAATAAAGATGGCAATTTCGTTGTCCTATTTCACTCTTAGATCTTTTTTTAAAAAAATTTTATTTATTTATTTTTTTAAAAATTTTATTTATGATAATCGAATGCAATGTCTAGATCCATTTAAAAGCAAAATGAAATTTTTTTTGGTCCTTATCTGGATTATATTTATTTGTATATAATACATAATTTAAATTTCTTCAAATAAAATAAGATTAAAATACTAAATTAGTATACTTAAATACTCATTTTCACTTTATTATTTTCTCATTTTACATATTTCCATTCTCGTCACATAAATAATTATTTATAACATGTCATATAATTTTGATTTTTTTTATTAATACCACCATTATTAAAATTAAAAAATTAACTACACATCATTTTTCTCATAAAAAAAAAGATAAATTACAAATATATATAGAGTGTTTGAATTTTATAATAAAATAAATCACGAATTTTTAATTTTATCAATTTAAATCATAATCTTTGATTTATTTTAATCTAAATATTTGTCTATTTTTGTAAGGTAAAATTGATTGAAAAAATGATATTTTAATCATTAGGTGTATGAAAAATATGTAAAATATTATTTTTTTTTGTCAATTATACCTAACAAAAATAGGTAAATGGTTTATATTAAAAACAAAACAAAATATTAGAATTTAAATTGATAAAATTATAAACACAGAGCTTAATTACCAATAGATTCTACTTTTGGTACTTATTACTTAGCCTCTTTTGTTTTTATGAATTTTACAATAACAAATTTATCAATTAAAATATATAGATAAATAAATCTAATTAATAGAACTGATTGCGACCTATTTTATCATAAGGGAGTTTTTTTCATAAAAAGATTTCTAAAAAGAAAAAAAAAACTCCACGTCATTCCTGATTTGCTCCGATTCACGGGCGGGCGGGCCATACAAAACCAACCGACCCGGTTTTTTTATCAACCCTACTTGGAAAGCTGCGACTTTGTTGGGGTTTATGAATTGAATCAAACAACTTTTGGGGTTTTGATTCATTCATTTCAATTTGATTCAATGGCGGTTTCGCCATCAAAGAAATCGCTAGAGTTGAAAAACTTGTTCTCAACCTACTCCAGCAATCTCTGGAACCGACTTGTCAGTTTCTTACCCTCTTATCGCTTGGATTTTCTCGGGAAAATTTACAATCTCTATCACCAAACAACTCGCTCCAGATCACGCCGACGCAAGCCTTCTCTCCCTCTGCCATTGCCTTCCAATTCACTCGAATCTTTTGTGTAAGTATTCAGCTTCCTTTGTGAACATTTTTTGAAATTAAGATTGGGCCCTTGATTTATATATACACAGGGATACATCTGAAGCTTCTAAAGTTTTTGATGTTTTGGAAGACATTTTGGAGCACATCTTTTTAGATTTGCATAACATTCAGAAGAACTTGCATTTTTGGCAGTCTAGAGCAGAGGTTAGTAAAGGTCCTTTTGTGTGGAATAATTTTTTCCATTAGGAGTGTAGTAACACTCCGTTTGGATGGAGGGGTTTGGTGAGAAGAAAAAAAAAAGGAAATGGTGAGAATATGAACCCTTCACTTGTTTGGACGATTAAGTATGTGAGAAATGATGAGAAAAAGATTCTCACTGAACCTATGGTTTGTTTCTCACCAAAAGTGATGAGATTTGGGGGGAAAGGAATCGGGTTTAATGAAAGTTTTCTAAAACATCAAAATTACCCATATGAAAAAACATGCCTTATAAATATGAAAGATTATTTTGATCCCCCCCCCTTCCCTTTTTATTTACCCTATTCAAACGAGATAGATGAGAAACCTCACTCTCTTCTCTTTTATTTGTCTAAACATAATGGTGGGAAACCATACTCATTTCTTTTCATTTCTCACCTCACCTCACTATTCAAACGGAGTGTAAATCTTGGGTTAATTCTATTCGCACATGACATGTACATAAACTAGTTGTTCAGACATAAACAGTTGAACTGAAAGTATCTCTAAACAATTATTTTTGTTTGGAAGTTTGCATCTAAACATTTGGCTTTTGTTCCAAAAGTTATGTCGGTACGATACAAATGGTGTGTACTGAGAATTTCCCTAAATCTTGTAGTGGACATTTTTCCACGTATGCATTCTTTAAATTTATTTGGAACTTTATGTCCAGACATTTGGTTTTTGTTCAGAAGTTTCTATCCGAACAATACAAATAGTGTGTACTGAGTTTGTAGTGATGTGCGAATAGAATTTCCCTAAATCTTGTAGTAGAAATTTTTTCTGCGAATGCATTGTTTAAATTTATCTATAGATTGCTAATTTATTTAATCTCAGGCATCAAATGCTCGGAAAGTTTACTTTTTGATTTTTGAGAGAGGGCCAAGGGCATTTATTGATGGAACAGTTCAGCTGATACGTGAATATGTTGTTGAGGGTTCTGGCATGCAAAATCTCTGCCATTCTGCGTCTGTTCATATTTCTGAGAGGATAACTGTCCTAACTAGCTTAAGATATCATTTGGCTACATTTTTGGCACAGGTTTCCTGTATATTGTTGTTAATTTTGTTTGCTATACATAAATTATTTTTTTTATATTGGCATTTTCATTGTGTTACTCTGTGATTTTTTTTTTTCTTTTTTCATTCCTCGGTGATCATGATATCTTCGTTTTCCTGTTTGTTGGTTTACATGATGGTGCATTTTCTTAAATGTACAATTGTTCTGATCTTAGGTCTCGCATGCTTACTTTATTTTATACTTTTTTCCATTTTCTAGCTGTAATGAACATATTGTCAAAATCGGGATGCTACATTGGATTGACAAAGGGGTTTACATGGTTAGATCAAGGATCATAAGATCTTATCGAAAAAGAAAATCATGTAATAGTTTAATTTGAATAAAATTTATTGGAACATATACACAAAGTAAGCCTAAACTATAATAAACAAGTGAAAATATTTCAAAAAATTATAATGCTTTGTGTAAAATTTAAATATAATATTTTGCAAGTAAAAGTTTGCATTTCGTCAACAGAAATTGGAGAAGAAAAGTTTTATAATAGAACACTTTGCACTCTTCAACAGTGCATAAAAAGAAAAAGGAAAAATAGTTAACACAGTTGGTTTTAAAAATAGATTGGAAATTCAAAAGAGAAGAAAACTAAAGGTGCACAAAAAAACCTGTCCAAAGTGGTTCAAACCGTACGGTATGGTCAAATTTTTTTAGGAGATGATTTGGTTCCAATTCTAAATAATCAAGAACCATTGATTATGGTTTGATTCATGGATTAAGGCTCATAAGAATTGTAGTGAACTCAACCAAACCAAACTTTTCCCTATGTTTATTATATTTTTTTCAAACTAATTTTAGTAGGTAAAGTAAAAAATATTAAGGTGCTGAGAGGAGAAATCAAACCTTAGATTTCCAACTTAACCTTCACATGCATCAATCAACTGAGTTGTTCTTAATTTATTAGAATCTCACACTAATAAATTAATATAACCAATATTTGTTTACTAACACATAAATATTATGACTTAAAATTTAGTTTTTGACAAGTATTTAAGTAATAAATTTATATAGTTGCTTCTATGTCATGTTGCAATTAATTGATCTTCTATTGATAAATGGTTTTTTTTTTAATTGGATTAGGCTAAAACCGTGGAACCAAAACCGTGGAACCAAACTGGTTTCTCTAGCTTGGTTACATAGTTTTAACTGTCTGATTCTGGTTTTAAATTTCCTGGAACCGTAAGGAATGGTTTGATCCCATTTCCTCCTTAAAACTGCACCAGTTTGGTTCGTGCACAACCCTATAAGAAAACATAAGTAGAGTAAAAGATAAGGAATTCTCCAAGAATCCTAAATAAAGATAATTGAGCAAATAAATAGATCTTAGGCTACATATGCATATATTATATGTCTTTTATCTCTTTGTTTTGAGACAAAATAATTAGTTCTGGACTAATTTCTTGTCGGTTGATATAGATTTATATAGAGGTTGACAAATTTGGGGAGGAATTAGTAAAGCATCCTGAGAAGTCATTGCCCTTATTATTGGTCACTATTAATGGTTTATTTTCAAAATTGGAGGCGTCAATTGGCCATTTTCATACAGTGTGTCAGGTTACTTCTCTCACAGATGACCTACTTTGTTTTCCTCCAGCTTTCCCTGTTGTAGTTGCAATTTACCTTTGTATTGTTTGCCTCTCTTTTCTTTTGTTTTTCTCTTTTAACTTCTAATTTTATTCATAAACATAAAGCATCAAAAGAAGGTAGAACTACTTACCATTAATTTTGATGTACTTTTATACCATTTTCTGTTTGTGTAATTACTGTGCAGAGTGACTCTTCTGTTGATGGGAGCTATTCATTCCCTCTAATGTTTGAGACATTGCCAGAAGTGAACCAGGAAGGCTCTCAATGGACAGATTGTGAGATTAGAGATGCTATCAACTTAATTTATGAAAATCTACACAAGCTGGATTCTTACTTAAATGTCATTGTAAGAGTCTGAACATTCTTACTTATGCTTTTTGATTTTTGTTCAAAGTTTGTGGTTGTGTTTTATTACTAAGAATGCTTGTTTCTAAAAAGGATTTTGAATAATTATAAATGTTATGGAGTAGAATGGGATTCCGAGAAGTATGATTTACTAAGATCTACCCATAATCTGTCACACTACTGTAGTACAAAATTAAGTAAAAGGTAGTGCCTCTTTGCACATAAAAAGATATATTGACTGCAATGAATATAGGTGGAGGTGGTTACGTTTGACATGTAAAAAAGAGTTGAAAATTTTCAGAATCTAGAAAATGTCCACTTATTTTTTTTATTTTTTATTTTATTTTTTTATGATTAGCTATAGTAAATATTCACATTTATTTTGGTTTGAGTTTGTATTTATGCATGAAGGGTTGAGAAGATAATTTAGGGAGTTTGTATGTGTAGTACATATGTCGAACATTGAGATCATTCTTGTGTAAGTTATGTGCCTCACATATTGAGATTGGAGGCCCACTGACATATATCTCCTAAGAGTCTCAAATTTTAACCTTTGATGGCCTGCAAAGAAAATTATCACTGGCTTGGGGATGGACATACATAGAGGAGAGAGAAGAACATGAAAACCCCTAAGTTTCAAACAGCCTTATAAGTTCTCACTACACTACATCATGACGCAAACCCCACCTTATGCTGATTTGGCATTGTGACCAGCCAATAGCAATTGCGGACTGAAATTTAACTATTTGCATGATTTGTGTTGCTGAATTTGCCTGCTTTTCCATTAGGTTACAAAACACCAGAAACCAAGGAAAGTAACTCTGTACTGGATGCGTTATACATGTGGGATTGTTGGTTTCTCGGTCTGTTCAATTTGGGTCTTGAAGCATAGTAGATTGATGGGAAGCTCTGACATTGACAACTGGATTCGTGAGGCAAAGGACTCGACTATTAGCTTTTGGAATGACCATGTAGAGCAACCGGTATAATTTCTGCTAACTGTTCGCATTTTTCATAGTTTCAAGCTCTAAATAATTTGCATGGTTCGATTGCTTATGCTTGGGATCTAGTTTTAAATTTTAGAATATTTTATATATCAATGCAACTCTATGGGCATTTGGTGGGGATTTGAGAAATATAATAGGACGACGAAGATATTGTCAATGAATTTTGAAGATAAAAGGTGATTTGTTTTGTAAATCTATTGAATTTGATGTCTCCACATTTTATATAGTAGCAGATTGTCAGAAACCATGTATTCCAATCTCTTAACTGGAATATGGAACGGACTCGATGAGGCATTTGAAGAAGTAATGGTATTTCTGATGTAATTACATAGGTGTTATGTAATGGCTTATGATTCTTCTTGAAACTTCAGATGGAGGAACAGGTTCAACCTTCTTTGGATGTGTCCAGTGCAGAGTATAACATGAAGATTGTTGGCAATATATTATTATTATATATTTGTAGCACTTCACCGTCCCTCCTCTCCCCCTTTTATTTATGTTTTCTTTCAAAAACTTTTTACACAATGCACTTTTCTAAGTATGGTGGAATAACCAAATTATGTGTCTTTCTGCACTCCATTTTTCATCAGCTTCTATCTATAAGAGATGAACTTTTTGAGACATTCAGGAAGAGGCACAAAGTTGTAATGGACCATGAAGAAGTATATTTAACTGCCAAATCCCTACACAGGTTAGTTAAATGTTTGATAATGAATATTGACCATGCATATGTGACATGTTTAGATTAGTCATTGGTCATGAGTACATACAACACGTCCTGTAAATTGTAAGCCATCTCCAGTTATGTCAATGCAAAAATATTTTTCTATATATATATATATATTTTTTTAAATTTCTATTTTGTGGTTTAGGTTAAGATTTATTGAGTTTCATATCAGTTATTTAATTTGCTAGTTTTTCTTACAACCTTTGACTTTTTTTTTGGTTTTGTTTTGCAATCAGATTATTTTATTTATTTATTTTGATAAGTAAGCAAACATTATTGAGAAAGCATCAAGATGATGCAACAAATACAGGAAGGCCACCCCAGGTTGGGGAGACCACAAAAATAAAACAACGCTAACCAATCACCTCATCTAAAAAGTCTAAAAACACAAATAGATTCGGATCTATCCTACCCCCCAACCAACTATACATAACTATAAGAAGGCGATTCTGTAACCAAGAGACACCATGAAGAACCTCTAAAAAGGTGCGTCTATTCCGCTCCAACCAAACTAGCCACATTAAACAGAACGGTGCCAATAACCACACCCGCCGACGTCGACGCCCGAGCCGAACGCTATACCAAGTCCAAAGCAAATCCAACACCCCTTTCGGTTGAATCCAAACAACCCCAAAAAGTGAGCAAAAGCAACCCCACAAATACGAAGCCACTGAACAATGAAGAAACAAATGGTCCACCGACTTAGCATTATCACAACACATGCAACACCGATTCACTAAAACATGCCCCCTCCGTATCAAATTATCCAACATAAGATTCCAACCTAATGCTGCCGTCCACATGAAAAAGACGACCTTAGACGGAACCCCCGAAACCCAAATACCTTTCCATGGAAAGATCCTGCTACAATCTCTCACCAAAACCCAATAAAATGATGCTACTATGAACCGTCCTTTTGCCCCCACCCCATTCCACACCATGACATCTTGTCTAATCCCAACAGTCCCCAAACCATATAAAAAATCCCACAACTCCAGCAATTGATCAACCTCCTAATCTTGGATATCCTGCCGTAATTGACTATCCCAAACCACCACACGTCCACCTCCTATATAAGAAGCCATCGGAACATCCCGATCTGTCACAATATGAAAAATCAAAGGAAAACGGGTCTCCAACATCACCTTCCCACACCACCTGTCTTTCCAGAACCTCACCCTAATCCCATCCCCCATCTTAAACCCTACCTACTTCCAAAACTCCACCCTCACAGCCAAATCCCTTGCCATAACCCACACCCATAAGTATAGGACACATCCCCCGAAACCCAACCCCCTCTTCCCACCCCATGTTTAGAAGCCACCACCTGCCACCACAAAAGCGCCATAACCACTTCCCTAACAAAGCTCTATTGAAAATCACCAACCTCCTCACCCCCAAACCACCAGCCTGCTTAGGCTGACAGATCCGCCCCCAATCAACCAAGTGATACCTAAAATCATCACTGCCACTACCCCACAAAAGTCCCTTTGAAGCTTCTCCACCCGTTGTGCCACTGGCATTGGAATAACATGAACATTTGTTTGTTATAAAAGGGCTGAAGTTGAAATCCCTAATTTCCATTTACATAGCCCCAAGTTTCAAGAACAAACTGGAAACTATTAAGGTGTAGGCTTTTAAAACACAAAAAGCCTAATGGAGAGCTTTTGAGATTCAGCTTAACTAAAGTGAAATAAATATGAGGATTTGAGGTGTTTTGGTTCTTGTACTACTTATTAGTGAGCTTTCTTTTCCTTTCAAAAAATAAATAAAAGAAAGAAAGAAAGAAAGAAAGAAAAAGAGAGAAATAAAATTTTAATTACTAAAAAAGTTTATTACTGTAGTGCCCATGCATGAATGCTTCTGGCTCTATCGTCATGAAGAATCATCTTGACATACTATTGATACTTTAGGACATAATTCATCCCAAGGCACAGGGCACCCTTGTGAATTGAATTTATCATTGGACATATTGATTTGAGGTCGACTGTTAAAATCCACCTACTCTCCACCTACTTCACCCACTTAAACCTACTCCACTAAACCTAACCCACTACACCACTATCACCTCCACTTCACCTACTCCTTACCTACTACACACTCACCCTCTTCTATATATAGGAATCATGAATCATTGTAATAGAAATCAATACATCAATCAATATTACATCAATAATACAATTCTCTATTTCTCTTTATACATTCAATTTCAACATGGTATCAGAGCAGGTTTAGAACCTAATATTTTCGTTTCACCGGCGGGCGGCAACCTCACCTTAGCCGTCCGCCGGACCTCAACCTAGTCTGCTAAAATTTTCTATACGTACCTTGCTACACCACTACCACCTCACCTACTCCACTAAACCTATCACCTACTTCACCCACTTAAACCTACTCCACTAAGCCTAACCCACTACACCACTACCACCTCCACTTCACCTACTCCTTACCTACTACACACTCACCCTCTTCTATATATAGGAATCATGAATCATTGTAATAGAAATCAATACATCAATCAATATTACATCAATAATACAATTCTCTATTTCTCTTTATACATTCAATTTCAACATCGACACATCTGAGCTTTACTAGGTTTCATATCTAATTGACCTTAAAATATGTTTTTCTTGGTTTGCAGAATGTTACTGGCTTTCAGTGAGCAGACAAAAGGTCAAACATTTCCAGAGAATGCATCAGACCAGGAAATGCTTGAAATAGTAATGGAAAGGTGAGATATCATTTTTGTTTGTATAGCTACTTATCATGATTGATGAAGTTGGTGAGGTGTTTAAGTTGCGTGCGAAACTCTGGTAGAATCTGTTTTAAGTAATAACCACCTGTTAACACGAGGGAAGGTGTGGGTTAAAGCACTGGCTGTATTGTGGATTTGTTTATGTTACTTATTAAGTTATTTCTCATTACTGCTCTAGTGGCACTCTTCTTTTTTCTCTTCCTTTTGTAGCATTCAAGTAATTAAATGTGTATCATCTCCCTTTGATCTTTATAGTTTATCTTCAGCTTGCCTTTATTTTTGCATTTATCCGACATGTAGAAAGAGCCATTTCCTTCCATCTTCCAATTTTGTAAATAAAATGGTGTTGAAGGTTCTCTATTTATTTTTTTTTGATTTTTTTTTTAAAAATAGATTTTGTAAGAAGTCTGATTCTTGTGTACTCCACTTTTCATAGGAACAATTTGTCCAATGTGTCTGTCACAATCATGATTGATAAGTGCATGTTCCAAGTGTCTGAAGTTTGTTCAGTTCTAAAAAATATATATGATGGGACATGTTTAGATGTGTGTTCAACACATGTTGGGGAGTGTTTGACGAGTGTCATGGTGCGGCACGAACATGGCACCTTTTTAGAAGTGTCAATGCTTCTTAGACGACATCTCACTATAGAAAATCCCAAAAGCTACAATATTCCTTTTCCCAAGTATTCTCTTGAAAGGAACTTTATAGGCATTTGAGAGGCAAGCAGCTTGCGAATTTGAGCTTGCTGGATTATTGGTTCTCTCTTCACTAATAAAACAAATTCATTGATTTTCTAATGTAGGTATGAGAAGGAACTTACGCATCCGATTCAGAGTCTTGTTGGGGGAGAGCTTGTTCGTGCTTTGCTTATCCAGGTAATATACTGCACTACTGCACTTCTCTGGCAGTCGGTGGTTTCTAGTTCTGATTATATGACAAGGGTTTTGTGCTATGACAGATTCAGAAGCTGAAGTTGGATATTGAGACGTGAGTAGACTGAGTTTTTTAGAAGTCAATTCTCTTTGGTATTCAAGTCATTTGATTGTTTAAGTTCCTGACCACCATGTTCTAACAGGGCAATGCTTGAACTAGACCAGATTCTTAAGGCCAATGAAATCAATTTTGCTATTCTAGCTGCTTTACCAGCTTTCATTCTCTCCCTTCTTTTGCTGATGTTGGTGCGTGCATGGTTAAAACAGGTAAGCTCTATGGAGTTCTTGTTATTTTTGTAGTGTACTCCATACGGTTTCTTCAAGCCAGAGTTACATCATTAGATGTGAAACAACATGTCTCTTGTGTCTTTGGTTTTCCTTGGTGAATTGGAAATCCTAGAGCTTAGTTTAAATATTTGATATACTTTATATCCAATGTTCTTGACTCAGGTGAATCCATGAGGCTTCTCTAAGGATACACATGCCAATTTCTCACTTATCTTTTATTTTTATTTTCCTATTCAAATCCATAATTAGCAAAAGAGATACATGTTTGAAATATTTTTATCATCACTTTGGAAAATCTTTAGTACTCTAAATTCAATCAAGTAGAATCAACTCAGTGGATCAACTTTAAACACCTTAATTCTTAAAAAATAAAAAAACTACTTCCTAAAAGCAATATTTTAAAATTTTGAATTGTGTTTAGGTAAGACATCTTATCAAGGTTCTGAACTTTTTGCATACCGCTGGGTTATGCTTCTTATCTATTTGTTCCATCTTCCTAATACATAAGTGAGACCAGATAAGCGGTGTTAATGTCCTCAAGCTGTGCTGCTTCCATGTTAATGGAGTGTATGAGGTTTTTGTTTCGACACATTTGAGAGTTAGGATTGATATGTACAATTACTCTACTCAGATGTTCAGTTTATGCTCCCCAAAAACATTGGGTATTCTTGGTATTGAAATGGTCCTTAATTTTCATTCTGCCAGCATATTTTGAGGGTCATCGTTTTCTATAAATGTAGTAGTTTTTAACACCCAAAGAAAGACTCTTGCTTTATTACATATATTACAATCGTTACTCGTGAGTTTACTTGTTTGCTTACATTCTTTGACTGTACTTTTATATCTAATTTTGCTGTCATCAGTTTGTATCCTATTAAATCCTTGTTTTGTGTTTGTGCCCGTGCCACATCTTCAAAACATACGTTAATCTAGGCCTAGCTGTCTAAGTTTTCCATATTGGAGGATATAGAGGTAGATCAAGCACTTAATTTGAATATAGAACATGTATTATTTTCAAAATAGATAACGACTTGTATGGGAGTGAGATACATTTTCAAATAAATGTTGACCTTGAAGGACTATCCATTGAATATCTATATGAAATAACAAGTTTGGAGGAAATTAAACCTAACTGTTCATTTATTTATGGTGTGAGGACCATTGCTTGGTGTAATGGCATAAGCTAAGCTTTCTAGTCTGAGAGCAAGCTCAAGCCTGAGGGCATCCAGTTTTTTTTCTTTACCCACAAATAATGTTGTTTTGCATATTTGGTTTTCAGATTATGGAGCAAATGTGTACTAGAGGGTAAATCATGTAAAATTTTGTGATTGCCAAATTGGTTATTGTTTATTTGTACTTTCAGCCTCACTATCTGATTTCTCTTTGTTATAAATCAGGATACTAGAGCAGAAGGTAGAGGAAGGATTGCTAGACTCCAAAGAAGGTTGCTAATTGTGGAGGTTGAGAAAAGGATTATGCAGTTCCAAATTTGCATAGATCAAGGATTGGTATGAAATCCAAATTCTTTTTGTTTCTATTTTTTTTTTTTTTTTGTCAACGAATTGTTGGTCTGCAGTCTCTACATCCTAATTGGGTTTTTGACTTGTTTTAATTGGTTTTATTGAGAGAGAAGGGATAGTAATGCCCCTTTTGTTGCTTGTAGGAAAAAGATGCGGAATGCATGTTTGGCTTGGTTTTGTATAGTCTGGATCGCCTATACCATGCTGTGGAGTGGCATGCGAAGGCAACCGGCGAATGGCTATGGTTAGTTTTGATTCGTTAGTTTTTGGTTAAATTACAGTAATATGCTCAAGGTTTCTGACAAATTACAAGGGTTATTCTAATGATTTTTTGAATGACATTGACACCCCTAGTTGACAATATAGGGAATCCTCTTTTTATTTATTTATTTATTATTATTATTATTATCGGTGAAAGTCAGTGATTGGATTAGGAACTATGGGAGTTAGCCTCCCCACCCAATCCAAAGCACTAAGGCCCCGTTTGTTTGGGATTATAGGAAGGGGATTGGGACTACTAATACCTTGGTATTACTAATACCCTTGGAAGGGGGATTCATAGTGATGAGGTAGAGATGGTATCAGAAAAATAGTGAGGGGATTAGAAATTTTTTTATTTTTTTTATATTGGGAATTTTTTTAAAAATATTAATGTTTAATTTTTATATTTTTTTATTTGTTTTATTATTTTATATAAAAATAATTTAACAATTTCTTACTATTAATCCCCTCACTATCAATCTCCTTACTATCAATCTCCTCCATTTTATCTTTGAAAACAAACGGGGCCTAAGTGCTTGCCCCACTAATTCAACTCTCTTTAAGAAGAGTTGAACCCATGGTGGCCAACTAGGCTAAGCCCAGTTGGTTGTATCCTCCTTTTTGTTAATTGACCATGAAGGCCTAACAGCACGCTATCTTTTCACGTTTTAATCTTCCTCCTATTTTTTTTCTCTCCATCCTTTGTGACACAATTTCCTCTCTCTCTCTCTCTCTAATTGAAAAGTTCAGTCGACACTTCTCCTTAAAACCCAGGTATTAAGGAGAAGAGAACTAAAGCCTTATAACCAGTACAGGTAGGGCAATACCAGGCGACGTGGAACACATTCTAACGCACCCTCCTGGACCACAACTTACAGTAACCAAACAAACGACACACCAATAACAAGCCCAACCAAGTTCTAATACCAAATTGAAAAGTTCAGCTCACACTTCTTTTTAAAACCCAGGTATTAAGGAGAGAGAAACGGGAGCCTTATAACCAGCACAGATGGGGTAATTCCAGGCGATGTGGGACACATTCCAACATCTCTCTCTCATGAATGATGCACTCTCTATCAATATTACCAGTTATCCATCAATAACTATTAACAATCTTGATCATCCATCACCGTCATATTTGATAAACCCTTAAAAGCCCACTTTACCCACATCAATCCACTATGTGCAAACTTGCCGTTGGCCTCCACAAGCTTTTCATATATTGTTGTTAATTGCATTAAAGGAGGAGAAGAAATTGGGTAATGTGTTTTATGTATCAATATTATGAGAATGGTGTTAAGGCGGTGGTAGATAATGGATTTTGATGGCTAGTGTTCTCAGGTAGTGACTGCAGTAGGTGGTGGGTTTTTTTATGATGGGTGGTGGTGGGTTTCAATTGTTGTGTTGAGTGACTGCGGTGGATGGCCAATTGGGGTGGTGGGATTGGTGACAGTTGTGCTAAGGTGGTTTATGGTGAGTTTGTGTGGTGGGTGTTCGATGGTGATCATTGTGGCATTTGATGGATTTGGGTGGTTGGGCTGGGTGGTGGTTACGTCAATGAGGGTGAATTTGGGTGGTCGGTGTATTAATAGTTTCAAGTCAAGCAATGCTTTGTTTGAAATTAATGAATTATGTAGCAATGATGGCAATGTTGAGTTGATTGCAATTATAGACAAAGAATTACCAACCAGTAATTTAGCTAGTATTGTCTCAAGACCAAAACTGACATAGCCATGGTGGGTTTGTGAGAGAGAGAGAGAGATAGCTGTTGTTTCATAAATTGTAGTGGTGGCCCTTGAACTGTCAAAAACTTCAGGGTTGAGTGTACTTTACTCTTGGTACCCGTATATTTTAATGCATGTCCTCATTTCTACACACACGACACTCTCATTATGAAGAGGAGCTAACAATATGTACAATGTAACAGTTTGAGACAGGATATTATTGATTTGGGGAAGCCAAGACTACAAACTTCATATAAGCTGATCATCACGTCACGAATGGAACGGGTGTATGATTGCTTGCTTCCTTCCTCGAAGCACTAGTGGCTCGCCTTTTTCTGTACTTTGTTGGTTTCCCCCCTCTGCTTTTTCTGTTTTTTGAAGCTCCCTATTTGCTTCTTCAATGGGTGAGTGAAAATTTTGTGACTGGTAATTATTGACCTCTTTTTAAGGTTTAGGCAATAGCTGTACCTTTTGTTACAAAATAAGCTCTTTTTCAAGCAACTCTGCGAGGAAACACTTTTGTTTTTGTTTTTTGCTGCTGACTTATATTTTGAGTTTATGAAACCCCAGGAGGCTGGAGTGTGTTGTTGAGGTCCATTGAGGCTAATGTTTAGATCGTTTATTAAAAAAAATTAAATTGATTTGACAATCGTAATCATATTATTTTATGAGACTTACGTGTAGGTTCTAATATGTGGACTTATTATTCAATAGATCCTGGTGTTTTCATCAAACATTATTAAAAAGCGTCATTAATTGTTAATTTTTAGTAACTGCTTGAAAATTATCATAAAAAATGTCATTAATTATAAGTTTTAGTGACAGTTTAAAAAAATCATTATAAAAAATGTCACTAATTTTTGATTTTCAAAAACAGTTTGAAAAATGTTACAGAAAAACGTCATTAATTGTAAACTTTAGTGATAATTATGAAAATTGTGATAGAAAAAAAGTCATTAATTGTCAATTTTTAACGACATGTAAAAAATTGTCACAAAAAAATATTTTTGGTAACGATTTTATTAGAATTTATTTTCAATAAGATTTTATGGGAATTATGACCTATTGATAGTTTATTTTTATTTTATCATATTTGTCCTTTAAAAAAGTGACGATAAATATAATTTTAAAAATAAATATTTAGGAAAAATATATAAAATCATAACCTACTATAAGTGTTAAATTACACGTTCAACTCCTCTATTTTAACCTGGTAGATTTCTTAATTATAAGGGTTAATTTACACGTTCAACTCCCCTCTATTTTAACCCAGTAGATTTCTTAATTATAAAATTATGACACTTCCATCTTAAGAATATATCTGTACAGTTTTTTTTTGTTTTTAATTTTTTTATAATAATAATAATTGACGGATTTGAATGTATGATGAAGAATATTTGAAACTACTCTAGAATCATCTTCGTTCATCGCATGAATTTCAACCCAATTGTCCAAAAAATTGAGAGGGCAAAATACTAGTGTAATTAATCTTGTTAGCTAAACATTAATCATTAAGGAACAAACAAATAATAATAACAATAAAATATTGAATTAAAAGTATGTATCTCTCCATTTTAGTTATTTACTTTTTAAAATTTATTTCTATTTTTGCATCATATCCCTTAACCAACAAATTTACTTAAACTAATTTAATTTATTTTTATTTCATGAATTGTGTGTATGAAAAGTAGCTATATGCACACATAGGGGTCTCCAAATGGCCCGTGAATAAAAAATCTGATATTATCCAACTTGACCAACTCAGCCCATGACTTTCAATCCAGTTGAGTGTTCAGTTTATCTCAACTCATAAGAGATGATTTAGGGTTTTAAACAAAAATTTATAGTTTGAGTCCGTCCATAAATCCGGCCCGTAAAAATCCGCATAGATAAGTCTAATGTTTAATTTGATTTTTTTCTCATGTTTAAAGTGTTGATTTTTTCCTTTTCTACATATTACTTGGTTGTTTTTTTTATTATATGAGGTGCAAAAAGGTAAAACAAAACAAAACAAAACAAAAACAAAATACTTGAATTATGTAGGAAAGTAAACAAGAAAAATAACTAATGAAAATATTAAAAATATGTGAATGAAAAACAGTGTAAAACTTCATAATACAAGTGTAATGGAAAATGTGTAACCCGATTTTATTTGATTTTGGCTCATAGAATTTGAGTTTATGGGTGAGATGCGATTTTAGTTTTTTAAATAAATCCAACCCGTATTAATCCGTTGACTAATCAAAGCTTGAAAAACCCATTAAAATATGAGATTTAGACACAATAGTTGTGGATTAGGTAAACCTAAATTGTCCCATTAATAACCCCTATGCACACACAATGTGTATGTGCATTGCAAACGAGGAATGTACATATATAATGTGTTGCTCAAGTGATAAATGTTTACATTCTCAAAAAAAAAAAAAAAAAAAAAATTAGAAAGTGATAAATGATGTCAATTTCAAATCTCAATTTCCTTTTAATATAATTTACATAAAATATGAATATTATCCAAAATCTTCATATATTTTCAACATATGATATATCAACACTATCAAAAACCTTTACATATATACTGAAAATATGATTTGTTGACTATGATTTAAATTTTAAATTTTAGTAGCCAATTAATGTTTGAAAATTTTACTTATAAATTTCATCTTAAGAAATGGTGATACGATTAGTCTCAAGAGTTCTCTTATAGACTAATTAGTTCCATTAATTTCGAAAAAGATAGCTTTAATATATTATTTTTAAAATTAAATTTACAATTATATTCTTATTTCTATTTTATATTTTCTCTTTTGTGCTAGAAATGTAAGATATACAACCTATAAGAATCAAATTTAAGATAAACTTTTATATGTGAATCTTTTTTATTTTGAATGATTTGAAATATGAAATTCTTCACAGATTCCAAAAGGATGTGGGATTCTTCAAATATTGCAAAAGGAATACAAAAACTCCTTAATAAGTTTTGACCAAATGTATAATTTCAATCTGTAATACTCCAAAAAAATTCTTTATTATACTTTTTTCAAACGTAACTTTCCAATGTAACACTCTAAAAAAACTCATTAGTGTAACACTCCAATGTAACACACACAAAAAATTTCTTAGTGTATTTTTTTTCAAATATAATATTTTAATATAACACTCTAAAAAAAAGATACAAGATTCTTTAAACCATTCCAAAAGGGTGTGAAATTCTTCAAACTATTCCAAAATGAGTATAAAAATTCCTTAGTAAGTTTTGGGTAAATATATAATTTCAAACCGTGAGTGTTACGTTTGGAAAAAGTATACTAGGTAGTTTTTTAGTATTTTTATGTGTGTTACATTAAAGTGTCACGCTTGAGATTACATTAATTAGAATGTTACTGAGAGGGAGATTTCCTAATTTGGCGTTGGGCTGAGCTCATTTGGGCCGAGCTAAGTTGGGCCAAGCTGAGTCAGGTCGAGCTAAGCTCGGGCGTTCATTGCGTGCTCCGATCAAAATCTCGGCGTGGTCTAGCCTAAGTGACCTTGAACTGATATCTTGGTTAAACATGTGCACTCTGACGTGTTAGACGGATTAGAACTTTTGAGGATCGGACCAACCGGGTAAGAGAATGGACAGGACTGAGGGGCTCGGAAAGAGCCACGGTGAAGTTGTCAAAGTAACCGCTCAATTAGAACGGTTGTTTCGGTGAGCCATGATGCCGCGTTAGAAGTAGCCCGGTTGGGGTTTTCAGCGGCACCTTGGCACTGTAGAAATGAGGTTTCGCGGTTCATATGTTTTAATTTGGTTTGACAATTTTGTTAGGTGGTGATTAGCTATTTTAGAGCTGACACGTGGGGAAATGTGAGAGGGGAGTAGGTCCACGCGTCCCAAGAGGAATGGGTGCAAAAGCACGCGCAGAACCTATATAAACAAGGCAGCGCCTCTATATGTGGGGAGACTGGTGAGAGCTAAAATACCACTAGGGTTGTTCACGGGTCGGTCGGCTCGGATTTAGTGTTTGAACCACCACTCAAACCGACCCTTTCGGTTCAATACTTTTTTCATCCGATGTTGACCGCTAGTGTGTGGTCCAGTGTGCTGGAACTCGACCGCACACTGATTCGGTGTTGTCAGTCGATTTCAACGGTTTCGCAGAGAGCTCAAACAATACATAAACTTTACCATTCACTCAATCAAATCTAAGAAACTAATTCAGAATTTTCAAATACAAATAATGAAATCACACAAGCAGACCTCAGAGAATGAAGAAAAGTATTCACATGGAGAGAGAAGGATCTAAAAGAGAAGAGATATGATACATTGAAAAAAGGAACTCATCGTCACCATCAATTTGCTTGCGCCATTACCGCGAGTTCGCCACTGCTACTGCCATTTTGATCACCACCATCGTCTTCACCACTGCGAGACGAGTTGGGGGAAGAGCCACCATCACCATCATTTTGTGAAGAACTATACCAAAGAAAGAGAGAGAAGAGAGAGAGAAACAGAGATAGTTTAAAGGGTTTTGGGTTCTCTTGGCTGCCTTTAGAGTTGCCTAGGATACATATTTTTTTTATTTTCTTAAACGGATTTGAGTTCCTAGGCTGTATTTACAGTTCTCTAGGATATAGAATATGAGTCCAATCCAAACACGTTGAGGGTAAATATATTTTAAAAATATTTTATCGGCTGGATCGGATTTATCGAATTTTAATGTGTACCATCCGTGACCGACCGTGAAATTGAAAAAATGGAGAAGTAACATCCGCAGCCAATCGTCTTTGTAAATAAATCCGTCCGTAGCTCATCGGATTGGTTCGAACCGGATGGGTTTGTCAGGTGTCCGGGTTCTATGAACAGCCTTAAAGACCACTTTGTCTTCTCTCTCTAGAAGTGTACTAACTTGCTCGTCGGAGGGATTTTTCGGCAACATACCGCCTGGTAGCTCACCATCGTTGTGTTCGCAGGTTAATCGAAGTGAAGTAAAGCTTGGACATGAGGAGTACGGACAGCACCAGATATTTGCTCCCCGTATAATTGGCGCCGTTTGTGGGAATACTCAGACATACAAAACCTTGTCCTCCAAGCTCTGTCGATCATCTTTGATGCAAACAACGACGATGTCTCGTTGTTTGCCATCGATGGCATCACTCTGGAGTTTGTTCGGAGAAGAGATGGTTTTCTCGCCATCCCTACCATGGCTGGTCTGGAGACCACTCCTAAAGAGCTCCCCAGAGATGCGCGAGACAAGCGCGCAAGGAGCACTGACCATTTACGAAGCCCTGACGGGCACCGGCGGCGAAGAGAGTCACATGCTTAGCGCCTGGAGCATAAGCTGAGGGATCAAGACGCCATCATTCAAAGGATGGCGGCAGAGATGGAGACACTAAAGCAGCAGGTCAAAGAGAAGGGTGTTGCTGGAGTGGGTAATCACAGTGAGCACACCTAATCCCGTCGCTAAGGCATCCAGAACCAGCGGCACACGCCCTCCTTCTCTATCACCAAAAGTTATGGGATTGGTGACTCTGACCTGCCAGCAGAGAAGTCTTGTGCGCAGGACAGTAGTTACCGTCCCTCACGTCTATTGACGACGTCGAGATATTCCTACTTCGCTCGTTCGGAGGACTTGAGGGACGTCTTAGAAGAACGAGTGAGCCGACGGGAGGCACAAAGGGTGCCGGCACTGCAACGGTTATCCCACGGAGGTCGCATTAGTGAAGAAGTCGTTATGCCGCCGCTACATCCTGCTGTGCAGATCCCTTTAGACAGAGACTTGGCGCAATTGAGCGCCACCCTCTTCTCCTTTGAGATAGAGACCACACCACTCCCTGCGGGCTTTCACCAGCCCAAGTTTACGCTCTACGACCAGAAAAATGATCCATATATGCACGTGAGCCACTTCCGGCAGGTTATGGCTGGATACAGGCGTAATGACGTTCTCATGTGCCTTATTTTCCCGTCCAGTTTGGGTGAGTTGGGCCTAAAATGGTTTGAGAGGATACCGGAGAAAAGTATCGAAAGGCGGCAGTAGTTGGCGGAAGCATTCGTGACCCAATTCAAAACTAACACCAAAATGCCAAAGTAGGTTGACCACCTTCTGAGTATCAAGATAGAGTCAGGCGACTCTCTCAAAGTGTACAACGTCAAATATTGGGAAACCTTCAACAAGATCCTTGATTGCCCGACGAACTTGGCAATCACCCAATACAAACGCGGTCTCTCGATCGGATATAGACTGAGGAACTCGCTCACCATGAACCAATCGACTACCATGAAGCTGTTGATGCAACGCATCAACGAGCACATCCGAGTAGAGGATGATGCAACCGCAGCCACCATGAAGGCGAATTCGGTGGCAACGGACAAAAGGGTGGCTGGAAAAGTTCACATGGTCGGACAGGAGGCAAACCATCTAATTGACCGCGTAAGAGAATCAGATTGTGGTCCGGATCGTAGAAACTGGGGCAAAGGTCGCCGTAACGACCGAGCTGATTATCCCTGCGATGCCATGGCAGATGCGAATAGAAAGTTGAACGCCCGAATAAGCATCACCATGGTTTTCAAGATCCCAATTTACCGCATCCTTAGCGAAATCCGCGATAAGGTGTATGTCCGATTTCCAGCCAAGTTGGGTGATGCGCAGAAGGGCTTCAATATGCGGTATCGCTGCACCTTTCATGGTGAGCAAGGGCGCCGTACGGAGCACTGTTTGCCCTTGAAGCAACACTTAGAGGAGTTGGTTGCCGTTGGTCACTTGGACCGTTACATCGACGGGGGCGTCAAGGCCGCGTATCATGCTCTGGCTGAGCCAAATAGTTTGGCTGCCCTAGAAGCACCCCTCTAAGGAGTGGTCAATGTGATCCATGGTATCATCGAGCTAGCGTATGTATGCGAGCTCCGAGGGATGATAAAAGAAGCAGAACACATGAGGGAAGTCCTGTTAGTCTAGCCCGCGGTTAAAAGAGGTAAGACCGAGGAGAAAAATGTGCTTAGTTTCTCAAGCCGGGATCTTGAGCACATTCAAACGTCGCACAATGACGCTATTGTGGTCACTCTTCGCGTCAGGGACTTTGACGTTAAGCGCATTTTGATCGACCAAGGTAGTGCGGTCGAGATCATGTACTACGACGCCTTCAAACAGCTCAAACTAAGAGATATAGATTTGGCTCCGGCAACTTCGCCACTAGTTGGTTTCAACTGGAGTGGCCCATGGAAAAAATAATCCTACTGGTCAAAGTCAAATCCGTGGTCAAGCAGGTGGAGTTCTGGGTGTTGAAGGTGTCCTCCATAGACAATTTGATCCTAGGCAGGGGATGGCTTCATGCCATGCAGGTGGTGACATCGACCTATCACCAAGTTATGAGGTTCCCCTCAACTACGGGGGTGATTGAAGAGATTTGGGGTGATCAGGTCATGGCCAAGCAGTGTTTTGTGGCCATGAATGAGAGCCGAGCAGCCAAAGGCTTCGTGCAAATGATCGAAGGTCTAGAAGATCAAAGTGTTCTGGATGATGTGGGCACTAAGGCCGAAGAAAAGGCCGTTGAAGATTTGGTGGAGGTGCGGATCAGTGAAGACAATCCAGACAAGTTATTTATGTTGGGATCCAGCTTGACCACACAAGAATGGCTGGAGATGGTGGAGTTCTTGGTGGCGAATATTAAAGTGTTTGCATGGACGCCTTATGACATGCCTAGCGTTGATCCAAGCTTTATTTGCCACCAACTCAATGTCTTTCCGAATGCTCGGCCTGTTATTCAAAGAACGCAGAGATCATCACGCCAAGGTAGTGGTAGAGGAGGTCAAAAACTTGTTCGAAGCAAGGGCAATCCAAGAAGTGCACTAACCTCGTTGGGTTTCTAACACGGTCGTGGTACTGAAGAAGAATGGGAAATGACGAGTCTGCGTTAACTACAAGACGATCAACCGAGCTTGCCCCAAAGACAGTTTTCCTTTGCCCAGAATCGACCAACTGGTGGACCTTACAGCCGGGCACAATTGACTCAGTTTCTTGGATACATACCGCGGTTATCACCAGATCGCCATGCATGAGCCTGACCAGGAGATTACATCTTTCATAACACCGAAGGGATTGTTCTGCTACAGAGCCATGCCTTTTGGCTTGAAAAATGCCGGGGTGACCTTCCAAAGAATGGTGACCAAGATGTTTGCCCCACTGCTCGGTCGCACGATGGAGGCATACATCGACGACATGGTGGTCAAAAGCAAACGTAAGGCCAACCACTTGGCCGACCTGGCAGAGATGTTCGCCATTCTTAAACAACACAAGCTGCGTCTGAATATGTCTAAATGTGCCTTCGGCGTGGGGTCAAGGAAATTCCTGGGCTTCTTGGTCACCAACCGAGGCATCGAGGTGGACTTTTCCCAAATTAAAGCCATATAGGAATTAAAGCAACCCAACTCGGCGAAGGATGTGCAACATCTTGCCGGTATGGTAGTCGTGCTTAACCGATTTATAAGGCGGTCATCAGATCGTTGCCGCTCTTTCTTCTAAGCATTGAACTCCAAGTTTTCATGGGACAAAGAATGTGACAGAGCCTTGGCCGAGCTAAAGACATATATATCTTCCGCTCCACTCTTGGTCACGCCAAAGCATAACGAAGAGCCCTACCTTTATCTAACTGTTTCTTAACATACCGTTAGTGCAGTGCTCGTCCGGGCAGAAGGCCCCCAACATCTACCGATCTTCTATGTCAGCAAAACCTTGCTCCCGGTGGAGTCCAGATACTTGTCGTTGGAAAAACTTGTTTTGGTGTTAATGATGGCCTCTAGGAAATTAGCACACTATTTCCACGCTCACACGATCGTGGTGCTGACCAAGTTCCCTTTGAAAGCCTTATTTGAGCGAGCAGACTTCTCCGGTCGAATTCTAAAATGGGCAGTAGATTTGAGGCAGTTCGATGTCAAGTTTCAACCCCAAACAACTATCAAAGCTCAGGCATTGGCCGACTTCGTTGCGGAATTCTTGCATGGAATTCATCCGGTTTACCTAGTGGATCTTACCGACGCAACCAAGCTATTGAGGGTAAGCACGACAAAAATTAATGGCGACGCGAAAGTTGCACGCTCGTCTGCAAACCCATCACTCCATGGTCTAGTCCAGTTTGGCAATGCGACGTTGGATTTGTGAATAACAGATCAACCTGTTGGATCCAGCGCCGCATCATCAAGGGAGGAGGAAGACACGTTTATTGTAATCGTTAACAGCGCGCATGCAGCGGTTATAGCCGAGCAGTCGAGCAACCACGATCATTTAAACCTTCAAAAATCCCAAGATCCCTCAGAATGCTGGAAACATTTTATTGGCGAAATGTGGAAACTTTTTGTGGATGGCGCCTCAAACCGGTATGGAGCTGGGCTAGGCGTAGTGTTAATCTCGCCAGACGAACTAACCATCGAACATTTTATCACGCTCGGGTTTCCAGCATCAAACAACGAGGCCGACTATAAAGCACTGTTAGCTGGACTGAAAACTGCGCTCCATTTGTGAGCATCCGAGCTAATGGTCTACAGCGACTCCCAACTCGTTGTAAACCAAGTGTTTGGAGAATATGAAGCCAAAGATGACAGAATGACCAAATATCAAACTCTGGTGAGAGAGCAGATCAAGAAGTTCCAAGCCATAAGAGTTCAACAAATTAGCCGGGAAGATAACTGCTGGGAAGATGAGTTGGCCGGTTTAGCTTCCATGTCCGACAAATCAACCCCCAGCCCCCTCTTGATTGAGTCCCTCCCAAGACCTAACATTGAAGATTCACAGCAGACAGAAGTTCTATGCGCCGAGCTGGGTCCTTCTTGTATGGACCTTATCATCTTTTTCCTCAAGGAATGGATCCTACCGACCGACAAGAAAGAGGCACACAAAATCCGAGTGAAGTCTGAGTGATTTTGGCTCTCTCCATCCGGCGTTTTGTATAAGAAGTCATTCACCGGTCCATACCTTAAATGCGTTCACCCAAATAGAGTCGACGTTTTTCTTTACGAGATCCACGAAGGAATGTGTGGGAGCCACGTCGGCGAGAGATCTTTAGCCTACCGTGCTATTTCGCAAGGCTACTAGTGGCCGTGCATGCAGGCAGACACACAGAAATATGTGAGAAAATGCGAGAAGTGCCAGAAGTTCGCCCACCAAATTCATTAGCTGGCTAGAGAGCTCATTTCTCTCACAAGTCCTTGGCCTTTCACAATGTGGGGGCTTGATATAGTGGGACCACTCCCAACCGCGCCGGGCAATCGCAAGTTCTTTATAGCGGCGATGGACTACTTCACCAAGTGGGCTGAAGCCAAGCCATTGGTGACAATGAAAGAAAAGGATGTGAAGAAATTTGTTTGGCAGAATGTGGTAACACGGTTTGGCGTCCCCAAGGCTTTGATCTCCGATAACAGCACTCAATTTGATGGACAGTTGTTTAGAGGATTTTGTGAGAAACTAAAGATAGAATTCTATAATTCCACCCCGGCCTACCCTCAGTCCAATAGCCAAGCCGAAGCATCAAACAAGACCGTTCTGGATGGGCTGAAGAAGATATTGGAGAAAGCCAAAGGAAAGTGGACCGAATAATTGCCAAATGTTCTCTGGGCTTACCGAATAACACCAAGACGCTCAATCGGGAAGACACCGTTCGCTTTGGCATATGGCATAGAAGCAGTCATCCCCGTTGGAGATCGGTATGCCCACCGTCCGCAGCAAAAATTTCGAGCCCGACTTGAACGCCGAAGCCATCGTCTTAGAATTGGACCTCGCAAAAGAATGTCGAGAGAATGCCCTGATCCATATCGCAGCATATCAACAAGAACTATCTCGGAAGTATAACAAGACGGTTCACTTCAAAGCAGCATATCAACAAGAACTATCCCGGAAGTATAACAAGACGATTCACCTCAGACCGTTCAAAGTTAGAGACTGGGTCTTGAGGAAGGTGATTGGCAACACCCTAGTGCCGGGCGAAGGAAAATTAGGGGCAAACTGGGAAAGGCTTACAAGGTCACCAGTCTGGTGGGCAAAGGGGCATATCATCTGAAAGACTTGGATGGCAAAGCTATACCACGGTCATGGAACGCAACAAATCTGAAGTTGTTTTATTTTTAGTTTCCATCTTTCAATGTAATTTTTTGTGAAGGGTGAGCATTTCCCTTGATTTACCTATGTAATTCTTCTCGTCACCTTGTAAATTCATGAATGTAATAGCAAAGAGTTACTGTACGTGATCAATTTGTTTGATTGTGCAATAAACAAGGGGCAACTGCCCCCAGCCGAGATAATTTTTCTCAGCCGATTGAGTTGGTGAATTGTTCAACTCTAAGATTAAAGCCGAGATGATTTTGTTCGGCCAAATTGAGTTGGTGAATTGTTCAACTCTGATGTTTTAGCCGAGATAATTTTGCTCGGCCAAATTGAGTTGGTGAGTTGTTCAACTCTGATATTTTAGCCGAGATGATTTTGCTCGGTTAATTGAGTTGATGAATGGTTCAACTCTAGGATTGAAGCCAAGATGATTTTGCTCGGCCAAATTGAGTTGGTGAATTTTTTAACTCTGTTGTTTTAGCCGAGATAATTTAACTCGGTCAATTGAGTTGGCAAATTGTCCAACTCCAGGATTAAAGCCAAAATGATTTTGCTCGGCCATCGAAGTTTATGAAATACCCAACTCCGTGATGATTTAGCTCGGTCAATAGAGTTGATGAACTAGTGTTTTAGTCAAGATGCTTTTGTTCGATCACAAGTCGAAAAGTCATTTGCAATGGAAAAGACTGGATGTTATGTTGCACTTTCTTAAGACCGAGATGATTTCCCCGGTTCAATCAGTGGGTACTTTGTCTGACATG